AAATGAAATATTTTAACAAAAGTTTTTCCATTGAAATTTCAGCTTATATCATTTCATATTTAATCTCCTTAAAATATATTTTCCAATATTTATTTCAATTAATTTTATTTTGTGCCAAATTCAAAATATACACTGACTTTTCTTACACATGTGTATATTATTATATGTACTATTATTTATACAGGGTCGTCCAGTGGAACTTATTTGACAAACTGTATACATGTAAAATTGAAAGTTATGTATGAGAGGATGTGGAGGATAATGTAGGGTACTGAAAAAAAATTTTTTAAGATAGCTACTTTTCATTTTTTTAATAAATTTCAGTTTTTCATTTCATATTTAAACAGCTGTTACTTGAAAGCGATAACATATATTACCGTCATGGAGGCCTATTAAGTAAGAAAAGTTGCGAACAACACATTGTTTCAGAGCAGCTCAACCGCTTCGGAGTTTCGCCATATAGAATTTTTTCAATCTAATTTTCTTTAACTCTCTAAAACTACTCCTAGATGTTAGATTAACCTCGCCACTTCTACTCAAGCGAAATTTTTTTTTCCCAAAAAAAATCAATGAAATGACATCCCCAAGACCTTTAACACCAGTTCTGAAATATCACATAATTGCTTATACCTTTATTATCTTTACCTTTATTAATTTAATTATTTGCCTTTGTAAGTTTTCAATCAATAAAGCTATTTTCTTCATTTTTAATGAAATGAGTTAAAAATTCTTTTAGAATCAATATACACGTAACGTATGTATACACATGTAATAAGGAATCCCTTTATATAGTTTTATATTGGTAAAGTGCACAAAGTAAATCCTATTAATTCTAAGTTGTTATTCTTGTAATAGATTCAGGTATTTCTTTTTATGAAAAAACTAATTATAGTATTGAATATTTCACTTTCAGTGTAATTATTACTTTTAAGAGGATAAAAGTGAATTTATGAACTTTAAGAGATTAAGATATCAATATAATTAGTAATGAAATTGTTTTATTTTCTTTAATTTTTAATGATAAAATCAAAATTAATAATAATTGTGTATACATATAGGATGTATTTTTACACAGATTTTTTTTAAGATTATTGTAAGTGAATAACTATATATAGGGTGGATATTCACGAAATTTTTACTTATCCAAGTTTTTTTGATTATAACTTCCCTTCCGAAAAAGATAGGAATTTTAAACAAACAGTTTGTGAAAGGCCTAGTAAAGGGCTTAAAATAAACATGCTGTTTGATTTTGTATTTTATGTATCTTCGGAATACCAAACATTCGAACTTTAGGGAAAATTAAATTTTTCACTTGTTTTATTAAAATCTCTTTAGTTGCATCAGCCGTATGCTAAGTTAGATTTTTTAGAAATATGTTTGAAATTTATTCTTCCCATTAAATTATTTATTAATTATTTATTAGCTTCATAATGTTGATACCATATCATTTAGATTCTCCATTTTGTTAAAAAAAAATAAATTTTCCTATTAAAAATTTTTTTTTTTTCAATTAAAATAAATGTCAAAATTTGTATGGCATGTTTTTAAAAATTCGTTCCAGTTGATTAATTTTAACATCTGCAGATGCTAAATGGAGTCTAGATTTCGAAAATATTTTTTTTTAATTTTTAAATTGCACCCAATGTGAGAAAAATGCATTTAAAAATTTTAAACCATATAGGTACCATTTCTTATAAAAATTGGCAAAAATAAAAAACCTATCAATTTTTTTTACCAAGAAAAGTTTCGAAAAAAAATTTTTGAATACTAGATTTTTTTTTTGTTTTTCCAAAATACAAAACTCTAGTTTTTTTTTTACAAAAATTTGAAATTTTTTAAATTCAATTTTTGTTTTTCAATTAAAAAGTTTGTATAAAATTTCGTTTCAATTTTGTTATTATTTGTAACATTTCAATAAAAACATTAAAATTCTGATTCTTTTATCAAAATAACGGCCCTTCAAAATGTCAAGTGACTATTCAAAATGTTAGGTGATTATTGTCACCAAAAATTAAAGATAGTTGTTAATTACAACGCTTAAAATACTTGCCTTGACGCTTAAAATCCTTGTCTTTAAAATCTTGACATAGGAATGGTTGGAAAATCTTGACATATGGAATAAATAAAAATTTCCTGAAAATTCGTTAAAATCCCTGGAACTTGGAAACCCTTGAGATTTGGCACCCAGTCCGAAACAAAAGTTTCACCCATTTTCGATCCTCTAGTCAATGATATATGTTGTTGTATATCTTTCAGAATCACCCTGTATAAACAGTATTTGCACAATTTATACGCACATATCTTAAAAATAGTGACCGAGTATGAAATATTGTGGGTCTAAAAGCAATATATTATATTTTAGTATTAATTATAATTTGAAAACAAAGAACTGGTATTTTAGTTACTCTAAAACAAAAAAAAGAATGATCGCAAATTAAAGCAAATCTGTTTGAAAGAAAAAATGAAACACTAGTATTAATCCTATGTCACATTAAAATCTCGGATCCTTTTTTTCGTAACGCTATATAATCAATTTTGTATATATGTATGTAAAATTACATATATGCAAAATCTATATATACAGAAAAGTCTTATATAGTGTGTGTTGGGAATGAAACAAATGTTTAGGAAAATTTCTGATAATTCTTAAAAATTGAATTGAAAATAGAATTAATGAGTATAGCAGATGTACATGCAAGTATGTTATAACTGCAATAGGTGAAATTAATATTTCAAGTAACCAACATTGTCTTAAAATGCCTCGACAGGATGTACGTACCTAACTCAATTATTTTTTCCTTTTTCACTATTTAATATTGCGGTTCCACCAACATGTACCTATGTATATATGTACATAATATATACATAGATTATTCCCTCTTTTGTTTGTTCATACTATAAAATCTATAAATTTCACTAAAGTTATGAAAACATTAAATTAATTCTCAATTCGCTTAGAAAATAATTTTATGATTCTTTTGAAAAATACTTTAAATTCTTAAGATTATTTTCAATTGAAAACTTACACATTCTACACATCCTTATGAACGCAAGCTTATGTGTACATAGGTGCTATTTTTTTTAGTTTAAATGATTTTCTTACAGTGTTATCCTTTTTTCACTTATCGTTTCCGTTCAATTCATGTAGAATTTATCTTTTATATCCTTATTGTTTGCTTTACCACTATTCATTTTTTTATTTTATATTTCGTTTCTCGTTATTTTTATAAGGGAAATAAATCGATGATCTAAAATATTTGAACAAATATATTATAGTTATACAATTATACATATATTAAATTCAATATATATTTCTTATATCAGAGTAATATAAAATATGTGTGTATGTGAATAACCATTAATCGCAAATATTCCGCAAATGTATACACTATGCAAGTTTTTACACCATATACGTACATGGTACATTGAATGCTTCAGATAAATTCCATGTGACATTTCTCTTTTAAACACTTTTTATCCTTTCATAACAAATATTTGTATAACCTTTCTTTCTCAGTTAAAACTTTAATTTTCTTTAAATATTATTTTATTTTATATAATATTTATTTCTCTTGCACGATGCATTGTAATCTATGTGATAAATAAAAAATATTAATTATAGGCAAATGTTTTGAAACGAAATTTAAAGATAAAAAATTTTGTAATATCTGAATGAAAACATTAATGGTAATGATATGCAAAAGAGAATATTATTTAATAAGCAATATTTCTCAAAAAATTCCATATTTGGTAGTTATCAAGGTGTTGTATTTTACGCACTACATGTTATATCCGTTTTATTTCTCTTTCACTTTGAATTCATATAAGAGAGCGATGGGGGAGTGCAATAAATTTTAACGTTAAGAATATGAAATTATGAAATTCTTTTTGAAAATTTCATTCTAATTATCCAAATTAATAATTTTTAATTGTTTGTATTTTTCTAATTTAATTTAATGCAACTGCTTTGGCTACTCATTTCAATGATTAGTCGATATGGGCTGGGTGGCTAATTAATAGATTCAAGTCATGAAAATTACATTCATCGATCACATCTTAATAAATATTATTGTTTAACATTAAAAATTTTGCTGTGTTATTCGGATATAGATCTCTTCTAGTAAAATAAGAAACGATCACAAAGCTTTCATTACCCTCAATTATTTAAACATGTTATTGTGGAAGTTGAAGCAAAATCTAACATTACCTAAAATATTTTATTTTTTTTTTCAAAAATTTGGTCTTTCATATACAATTTTCTAATAATGAATAGAAATTGAACTCATAAATCATAAGTTCATATTGTGGCCAAAATTAAGTCAGTAAAACGTGCAAAAATTCTTAATTTACTAAACTTATTTCCTAAGTGATTAAAGTAAAAAAATATAAAATCAATAGATAAGTATTTTTTTGACGATAGACAAAATACTTGTATAAAATCGATTTTTTTTTATTTTCCTTTTTAGATTTGGAACAGAAATTACAGCCCGGATAGGATTTAAAAATTTTAAAAATAATATTTTTAGTAAATAACAGTCGCTCATTTTTAAGTTTTCTAATAGATTTCAGCAATTTTTTTTAAATAATTCAAATATTGGGATATTCATTATTTTACTGATTGAATACCTTACATTACACTACAATAAGTCATGGAAAATTAAAGGCAACATCAAAGCAATTAGCATTTAAAGAAACTAAAAGGCAATATATTCTACTATTGGCTGAGCATTGAAATAAACTTTTAAAACGCATACAAATTAAAAAAGTCTAGGAATTAAATTCATTCTATATATTTAAAATTAAATAGGATTTGAATTGAAAACACAAATAAATTATAATTTAATCCTATTAAAGATAAAGAAAAAGACATTAAAAATTATTATGTGTTTTCCCTTTTTTTATATACAAGATTCATATATAAAATTTATTATTCCTTTTTTTATCTCTTTTGAATAAAAATAAAATTCTTAGTCCCATCTTCCATAAAAAAACAATTAAAATTAATTCTATAATAAATTTTATATTTAGAATTTGGTTTCATTTTTCTAGCTTTTTTTACAAAATGTATTTTATAAAGTATTAAAATAAAATAAAATTTAAAATAGAAAATGGAATACAAAAAAAAAAAGAAACAACAGTTTTATTCATTTAACTAATGGGGAGAAAGATAAAGCTTATTTTTAATTTTTGTTTTTTTTTTTCGTGTTGTTATCCTTTACAGAAACATTAATTAATTAATTACATTCTATTGAATTGGTAATGATTCATGTAAATAATGTTTTGAACCACCATCAGCAAAATCTGTAACAACATGATCTGTTCCTTTTAATACCCATTTTGTTGTTAATAAACCTTCAACACCAACTGGTCCTCTAGCATGTATTCTTGCTGTTGATATACCAACTTCAGCACCTAATCCAAAACGGAAACCATCAGCAAAACGTGAACTTGCATTATGGAAAACGCATGCACTATCAACTGAATTTTGGAATTTTTTAGCTGTACCATCTACAATATTAAAAATATAAAAAAAAAATTATAAAATTTTATATGTATAATCCTTTAATATATTCTTTCTCTTACACTAAGTTTCATTGTATATATTGGAAAATTATTTACCATTTTCAGTTACAATAACATCAGTATGTGCACTACCATATGCATGTATATGATCGATAGCTTCATCTAAATCACCAACAGCTTCAATACAACATTCTAATGCACCATATTCATGTTTCAATTTTTTAGCTAATGGTGGCCCAAATGTTAATTTTTTACTTAATTTTGGTCCAGAATATATTTTAACACCTTCATTTTTAAGCATACTACAAACATCATTAAAGAAACCATTATCTAATAATTGTTCATGTATTAGTAATGTTTCCATTGCATTACAAGCTGTTAATATATATAAAACACAAAATATATAAAACATTTTTATAGATTTTTAAAAATTTTTAATTGATTTTTTAAAATTTTGAAAATTATTTTTATTAGTTTACTTACCAGCTGGATAATCACATTTTGAATCTCTAATAATTCTTAATGCTTTCTTTAAATCTGCATCTTTATCAACATAAACGTGACAGACACCTTCAGCATGTCCCAAAACTGGTATATGTAATGATTGACTTTGTATACTACGTACTAAATCAGATGATCCTCTTGGTATTATTAAATCTATATGATCATCCATTGACAATAAATCGCTAATTTCTTCCCTTGTTGAAACCTTATAAAAATGAAAAATATTCCATTAATAAACAATATCTTTTTTCTTTAGGAACAGGATATTATTATCAAAAGTATGGATGCATGGTATGATTCAACGAAATGATTCAAATCAAACAATAATTTTTTTTTAATACCAATGAAACAGCATTTGTTGCTCCAACTGATCTTAATGCTTCTTTAACAAGTTCCATTAGAGCACGATTACTATGAGCAGCTTCTTTACCACCTTTTAAAAGTAAACCATTTGCAGATGCCATTGCTAAAGCAGCAACTTGTGGCAATGAATCAGGCCCTAATAAATAAAATTATGTAAGTATATACTTTTATGTAGCAACAATTTTCTAAAAACTCAAAAAAAGATTAAGAGTTTATTATTCTTGACTTACTTGACTCAAAAATAACTAAAAGAACACCAATTGGTACTGTAATTTGTTCAAGTTGTAAATTTTCAGCTATTTTTTTTCTACGAAGTACTCTGCCTACATTCTAATAAAAAGAGTGGAAAAAATATTTGATTTTGTATGTATATGTATGTATAAATATATAAAACATTAAAAAATTTAAGATATTAAAGTTTGTCTTCATTTTTCTTTATTTTGTTTTTAAAATGTCAGTAGGTTCTCGTACTATACGAATAAATAAAGTCGTTTCAAGGGTTAACGATAATAATGTCTAATAACTATATATAAGTGCAAGTATATATGCACAAACAAAAAATTCCCTTTAGTCATTCATTATAAATAGGACCGTAGTACATAATATTTTTTATCATCTCATAAATACTTTTTAACAACTTATAACGTTACCCTTAAGTAACCGTACAGCAGTACATAAATTTATTGTTCTAATGCTATAAACATAGTAAAGTTACAAAATAACATTTATATTGTTAAACTCTTCAAAAACTTTTTCGTTTTTCTCTCTTCTTTTTTGTTTTTTTTTTTTATTATGATTATTATAACGTTAAGAGAATTTTGATTGGAAAAGTTTTTTAGGTCTTCTTATTTTACGCCTTGTTTTTTTCTTCATATAATAGAAAACATTGGAAAATTTTTCAATTATCAAAAAGATAAGCGAAAAAAAAACCAATATAATTTATAAATTTTTAAAGTGTCTATTTCAACGACCTGAGGGCAACAACAATAACATAAAAATTTTGTTTTGGTTTTTTTTATTTTCAATATTTTTGATGTTATTTCTTTATTTTTTGGTTATTTAATTATTTTTTATTGCACCTGAAAACATAGTTAACTTTTCATTTTTGATGAAAATTGACAAATCAAATAAAATTGTACCTAAACATTCGAAAGTGTATTAATCTTTTCGGAGAGAATTTAGAGGAACGTCAAATTTTAGCTGAGATTTCAATCAGTGTTAGAAGTCTTTCAAATGATTATATTATGTATGGACTCTCATTAAAAGACAACTAAAAAACTACTCAGAATTGAAAATATTTATATGCATATTGAATTAAAAGAGAAAACATAACTTTTATACAAAAAAAATTGTTTCAAAAAAAAATTATTTCAACTATATTATTCATATATTAAATGTACGCGTTTATACCTATAAGTCCGTTTACAAAGCCTCAAAATTGAAAAATTCGTATTTTATTTTATTAAGCTTGTAATCAAATACACAAGCAATAGAAATGTTGTCTCTCCGAAACTAAGAGATCTTAAGTGTCTCAATTAACTGATCTATAAAACTACTCAATTTAACTGCTTTACCTAATTATAAATGACCCTTTTTTTTTTCTTAATATTCCTCTAAAATGCATGCATACAATTAACATTGGCTTGAAGGAACATTTGTTTTATTGATCAAATATTTAAAAAATTAAGTATAATTTGAAAAGAAAACAAAAGTTAAGTGAAAATTCCTATTGTTTAGCGGAAACTATATACAAAAATAAAATTGTAAATGTATTAAAATAAATGAAAACTAATTTGCGGACTACTCCTCTCCTTATCTAAAATTATCTAAAAATAAAATTTCTTTAAATTTAATAAAAATGAAGAAAAAAGCTAATCAAAAATTTTTAAGTTTTCATAAAGAAGAAATGAAAAGTTTAAATTTAATTTTCCCAAACCTTTTTCATTAAGGCTTTTTTGAGAAAAATTTATTTAAAACAATATCTTAGTAGAAATACAAGAATTATTGCATAATCTCAGAAAGTAATTTTACATTAAACGAGAAATTTTAACTTTAGTATTAACTTATTTATCATAAAAAATAAATGCATCTTAAATGAAAAAGTTTATTTTTCATTAACTCAAAGTTGTATCTAAAAGGTATATTAAGATATCATAGATAGATGTTTGTCAGAATACATTATAAATTTTGGTGTTCATTTTATTCTTTTCTTTTTAAAACTTGTAATTAAATCACCCAAAAATTTTTCATAATAACAGGCAGAAAGAATTTTTTTGTGCACTATTTTAGTTTTAATAAAAAATTCATCATAAGATTTAAAAGGGTGTTATGACTAAAAAACTCTGATGTGGTGACCACATAACCGACCGTATTGTGTATTGTCTAGTTTAGTGAAAGTGTTACAGAAAATTATGAAAATACCTTTTGAATACTTCCTTTCTATTTTAAAGAATTTAGCACCTTTTTAGTTAACATGGGAAGAAAAATGTAAATTTCGCTTTGTGACACCCGAATCCGAAAAATCAAACATCAAATTTCAAGAAATTCCATCAACTAATTTCGAACCCTGATCTTTCAAAAAAATTTATAGACTCATTGTTTTAAAACCACGAATTTAAATATTAAATTTGAAGGAAAGTGGTGAACAAACGCAAAAGTGTAAAATTGACCCGCAAAAATTTCCAGTTCCCAAGGTCTGATATATCTCACAAGTTGATATGCAGTTCGTGCCATAGCTAAAATAAACTCAAATATAAAATTTCATCAAAATCGATTCAGCTGAACTTGAGATACACGCGTGCACACAGACCGACGTCTCTCTAAAATTAGTTTACTTACACATCCCTTCTATGGAAAAGTGCGTTCCTACCGAAAACTCGACATCCAAAATTTGATGCCATCACATAACCTTGTGTTTTTGTGTGCAATTCGGTCGAATACAAAAATCGGGAGGAATGTTTATAATTTATAACTTTGCTTGTTAATAGCATATATGTATATATACAACAATAAATCATATTCATGAATAAGTCTTAAAAAGCAAATTAACTTGTGAGCAGTTAATGTTAATATTTTCCCAAAAAAAATATTTAATTTTCTTTCAATCTTCTCATAGAATGGTGTAAAAATAAATTACAAGAAAGTCTACAAAAAGTTTATAACTGCATTATGTATGTATACTTAAATATTAAGTTATATAATATAGTTTTCATGAAAATGTAGAATAATTTAATTTTTTAAAATTTATTTAAATACCTGAATTAAAAAAAATAATAAAATTTAAAACGACAGGGATTAAAAGCTGCTAAAAGCGATTTCTAAAAAATAATTAAATTATACTGCCATTGTTTTTATCTTCCCACACTTATCGGTCAAAACTATTAAGCTAAGGCAGTATGGAAAATTCTTGAAAGTTGTCCCTCAATTCATTGAAAATACTATCTTTTGAGTGAATAATTCATTCTTAATTAATTCATACTTACATTATGACTAGAATCAGCAATTTGTTTTAATCCAATCGAAAGATTCTTCAATTTTGATGGACTTAATGATAGACGAGCGAGTAATGGTTTTGCTAGTCCACTTTTTTGTGCTTCTTGAATATCCTGATTGTTTGCTGATAAAATGAAATCTTGTTTGGATATTAATAAATCAGCTAAATTAGTAACGGCAAGTGCTCTTTCTTCTGGTGTTAATGTTTGCATCAAACGACTGCCAGCACGAGCTGCAAAAATATTTTTTTGTTTTATTTTATAATACTTAATTTATTGAAATTAAATTAATAGAATTATTAATTGGTTTAAATAAATATTGATGAAAGTTTTAATTTTATTTGCACAAGTAAATTTTATGCAATTTAATTGCACGATTGTACAAAAAATTAATTTCATTGAAGTGTTTATTAAGACATTCATTAAAAATAATTTTGCAAACCAATTAAATTAAATTGCCATATCCATTATTATACCCGTACAGACGTATGTTCGAAGGATCGAAAAAATTTGCCTTACCGTTTGTACCGCTAAGAAAAAATGGTCTAGGATATAGGTATAAGTGAATGTTTTTGATCAGCGTCGAATTCTAAACCAATTTAACCATGTCTGCCCCATAATCAGTTATGGCATATTTGTACTACCACAGGATAATAAATTCGTACGGATATCACACGGTTGACATAGACAACTCTATTTTTTCTCGTTTTTCAATAAATTTAAATTAACTGCTTAGCACCCCGTTAGGTTTTAACATCGAAATACTCAGAAACGGAGCAAATTCATAAAAACATTATACAACAACCCACATTCATTATCGAAACGTCTAAACTGTTAACCTCCTTCTTAAAATTATATTAGCCACATTGTTTTTCAATAAGTATTCTGCTTTTCAACAACCAATTATTTTTTTCTCACCTTTTTATAATTTCCCTACATAAGGTATAATAAAATAAGGAAAAATTCATAATTTATTCTTCAAAATACCCGAAAGATATTATAAAAATAGTTCAAGTTTTATGTAATTTTATAACCATGTTGTGAAAATTCATTAAAGAAAAATTATAATTTCAGAAAAATGAAGTTAAATTTTTTTTTTATAAGTAGTGCTAAAGGATATTTTCTTGTAAAATTCTCTTTAATTACCAAATTTTAAGTGTATGCTTAAACGAATTTGAAAATATTTTCCTCTAATGAAAATACCAATTTTTAAGTAACCATATTCAAAAAAAAGGTTTAGAAACTTGTAAAATTCTATTAAAAATATTAAATTAAAACCAAAAGATAGTACGTAGTAGAAAATATTCATAAAAAATTTTATTTACATTCTTTAATAATAATTTACACTTATTACGTTACTGTGTAAAATATTATGAATGCCAAATATTTTATTAGCAAATTTGGCGAAAAAGAACAAAATTTTTGACTAAAAATTAAAAATATTGAAATATTTTTCACATTCATAATTATACTTTTTCTGAAAATCAAAAACTGCACAAGTGATTTCAACCAAAAAATCAAATTCAAAAACTTTGTCCAATATGCAAATACAAGAGATATGTAAAAGGGTCTTTCTCCATTAAATATTTAAATATGATTTCATTAATAATAAATTTTTGAATTTCATTGAAATTGTTCAAAGGAAAGTAACTATACTTTATCAATTGATGCATAAATTTAGTGAAAGGTAAAATCATAACTTCTAATGTAAATTTCTTTATTAAAATAAATATAAACAATTTCAATAATTATTTAAAAATTTACCAACAATTTTGTTTCATCCTATCAATCAAATGACCATTATATACCTAATATGATGAGGGTGAAATAACAAAACTGAATTTTATAATATTGGTGAAAAATGTCAAAGCCAACATTTAATTACAAAACTTTTGAAAAATATGCTTGTGTGTACATTTAAAAAATAGTATTAAATCAATAGGGAACTGAAAAATAGATGAATCTCAAAATTTGTGGTTAACAAAACTTTTAAAATGATTTTAGGAATAAAATATGTGTATAGGAGCAATTTTCGACGAGAAACTTTTATGTAGTCAAATATGCAAAATTGTAAATTCAAAATGGAATAAGATTTTCCTATATATGAAAGCTATTTATTAAAAAAATGTTGTAATACGTATTATGGAAGTTTTAATATTTATGCGGTTAACCCTAGTAAAATTGTAACTTAAATTCTTGGTTTCAATGTATAATATTGAATAGTATAGAGAAGATGAAAGGATGTATAACGGTCTCTGAGGCATAACAACAAAAAGTCATAGTGTTTCACAAACACTGCAACTAAAATCTCACACTTATTGCAAAACCAACTTAAAATCAAAACATCAAAAATAACTTCTGTTGCATTCTAAAATAGTGATTTGTGAAAATATCAAACAAACGAAGTTTTTTTCTTAAATTTACCTCTTTACATTTATACATTTAGTTTATAAAACTATATTGCAATAAATTCTACTTTATAGGTTTAACAGCAGCACATACATATTTTAATAAAAATTTTTTAAAATATTATTATAAATGACATTTAATCTTAGTTACAAATAAGAAAAAAATGCAATATACTAACCATTTTCTGCCAATATTTCAACTGGTGTTGTGGAACCTTCAACTGTTTCAGTAAAGAATGTACCAACTTTTCTACCACTTATTATAGTTTTAATTGCTTTTTCTTGCAATCCATTACATATCACAACACTTACACCTCTATCTAATGCCCATGTTGCTGCTCTTACTTTAGCATCCATACCACCAGTTCCAACCTACATGTAAATAATAAAAAGTACTACATTCATGAAGCTACAAAGTATGTATAATTTTTCCATGCATATTGATGTAGTAAAAGTAATTTTCAATGTTTTAAAGTAAAAAAAAGCATTTTTTTATATCATCGTTTCATTGGAGAAACCGTCGTCACTATATGAAAATTTTTCGCTTCTTTTTTTGCATTACAAGAAAATTACTTTTACTATATTTCTCTCTTTTTTTCATGACTGTAAAATATCTGCGGTTTTTAATATGAAAATATAACGAACATAAATGAAGAAAAATTAGTATAAAATACGGGCAGCTATATGTTAAAAAATTAACATGTCAGTATCAGAACTTTTTAATAAATTTATTGTTACCACTTTTTTTTTCTACTTAAAATTATTATAAGGCAAAAAAAATAAATAGTATGAACGAAAAATCAATTTTTACCTTTGATTTCTTTCCATATTGAATTGAGTTCATATCATTTGTTGTAAAGGTATGCATTAATTTTGCTCCATCTTCCCATGGGGGTTTATTATAAATACCATCAACATCTGACATTAAAATAAGTAAATCAGATTGTGCTTCGACAGCCAGCAATGCAGCTAAACTATCATTATCTTTTATATTGATGCCCTTAAATTAAATAGAAAAAAATTAATTTAAAATAATCAAAAATGACACATGCAATTTAGCTACCCAATAATCAAAAGTGAAACTTTAAGCAATATTTATAACTTAATATTCTGATAGAAGTTTAAATTTTAATTTAAAACATACTTCGAAAATTTTTTTCGAAAAACACATTCAATAAACTTTCGAATAAAAAATTAGTCAAAATTGAAATTCATTTTGTATACTTTTCAAATTAATGCGGTATAAAATTCCAAGAATTCAATAAGTGTAAACGAATTTTATGTTAAAATATTTTTTATAATAATGTCGAAAAAACGGAGTTTGAGAAATTCAACAAATGTAAAAAAAATTTACTGGGACTAAATGAATGGTTTTGAATCTAGCATATTTTCCCTTAACAATAATTAGGCACAATATTATTAAATACTGTTTTATTTATTTCATTCTTATTGCATACAACTAGGAGACGGGATAAGTTAAAACAAGAAGTATATAGAAATAAAAATGAGCGCGAATATAATGGTGCGATTTTACGGTGAATTCGGCCAGTTAAACATTTAAAAAAATTACCAATCGGAATCACTTTTTAAAGTTATAAAATTTTGAAATGTTCCACGGTTTGTATAAAATAATTTAACAAAAAAATGGTGTTTTCCAAACTTTTTCCGACCGTATATCTTTTAGAGCAAAAGAAACTATATCGGTAAAAATTTTCTACTATACAGAAATAGATTTTTTGCCAAAATTCATTCCGTAATTGAATGTTATGCTTTTTTTCTGCATTTTTCTATAAATGAAATTTTGTACACCGATAAATGGACGGGCAGTTGTCAACAACACTAAACTTGTAAGTATATTTTCCCAAATTTTTGTTGAAAATATGCGAGACAAGTTGCCTCATCAATTCATTTCAGACTATATACATGAAGAAAATAAATGAAACGCGATATCAATGAAGTGTAAAGATAAAACAAACGTGCTGACATTTTCATTCTGACAAATCGAATATTGCATTTAAATGAGAGTATGAGTGTACGTCAAAATCCGAAATCATATTATTATGACGGTTGATTGGCTTTTTTTTTTGCTATTTTTTATAAACAAAAAAATATTTCACGTTTTAATTTTAATCTACCCGTTTTATTTGTCAAAAAATAAATTTTTAATTTTTTTTTTAATTTAAAATTATCATTATTTTTGCTTTTTATTTGTTTTTGTCTAATCTTATGTATTTGTAACCTTTGACATTATTTTAATATTTTTTTTAAACAAATATGTTTACCTATTTCTGAAAATATAGAAATGAGTCTGAATCATAAAATTAAACTAACTGAATCGAAGCTAAATGAAAATTCGATATATTCCGGTGATCAATTAAAATCCAAATCTATCGTCAACTTGAATTATTGAGTAATGCAATTTCAATTTCGGGATTAGCCAATACCGTATCGAAAATAAATAATAATTCCTTTATCTTAATGGAAATTCCTTTTTTATATAATAAATAATAATTCCTTTTCAAGTTTGTAGAATTAATAAAATTATAATTAATAAAATTATTTGAGAAAATTTTTTAAAATTTCACTCTTTAATCTTAAGGGCTTTAATCTTTGAAATGAATATTGTTATAAATACCTTCTTCGATGTTCCAACAGGTACATCTTCATCTAAAATAAACATTGGTGGTGATACAGCATCATTTGTATTAATAATTGGAACAATATTCAAACTAATAAGTTCCGATAATGTGCAGAATAAATTTTTTCGTGTTTCTTCATTGTAGAAATCTGGTTTTGTGACAAGAACCTATTTATAATAAAATAAAAAAAAAATATTACTTAATAAACTGTGTTTGAGAATTGTAAATTTAAATTCTTTCTTAAAAATAAAATTCTCAAATTCATGTTATGTTTAAAGTACAACTCTATACAAGCAGAATAGTAATTACAAAAAATTTTTGGCAATTTAAGTAAATTATATATGCATTAAAACTTATGCAAAATCACAGTTACAACAATATCCTTGAAGAATTTAATTCTATTGTAGCTTCTATTATTATTTTTCACTAAAATAAATGTTCAAATATATTTTTTAATTAAAACATGCACATACATATAATGCATGCATTTCTCTATATATAATTTATACATGTTGCAAAACATTTAAGTTCAATTGTCCTTTACAGACCATAATTCCTTTAATTATAAAATATTATATTGCCCTTATTGTATTAACACTGTAAATTTTATCATTCTATACAAAAATGTATAGGTAGCTATTTATTTCCTTTTTTCATTTTAAAGTCAGTGTAAACATTAAAATTTAACCATCATAAAAACAAAAAAAAAATTATTATTTTATTAGTTTTTATTCACAAAAACATTAATATTATATTTTGTAATAAAAAATCACCGCAATCTTATCACTGACCACAAAAATACTACGTTTTTCTACACTGTTTAAATGTAATAATAATATGTATGTATACCTAACTATTACACATATAATAATATAAATATATACACATAACAACATATAAATATTTTCTCTCATTTTAATTCATTTTCATCCTCGAAATATTCTAGCACTATGATAAATATTCTTACACTATCAAGTACCATTAAACACTATATAAATAAGTATAACTGCAGCAGTACTATATATATACACATATTATGTATATTATTTGTAAAAAAAATTTACCTGTGCAATTTTAACTCCATACTGTGCAAACATAGCATCATATAATGACATTAAACCTGATTGTCCTACAGCAGCAGCAGCTCTTGGTTCTAATAACATTCCGGCATCCTTATGTATGAGTAAATTTAAAAATTTTATTAATTGCATGATATATAATTATGTATATGTTATGTGTGTATAAAAATTGTTTATATAAGATGTGAATGATAACAAAAAAGACAAAAAGATACAAAATATTTAATAATAAAATCTAAAAATTTCATTAACACATAACTTAAGGTAACTATATATCTACTATATACATTACATATTTATATTATAAGTATATAATGTAAAATTATATAAAATGAAAATAAAACATAATTTTTATATCATACATACAATTTACCTGTCTTGTAAGGTCTTTAGGTGATAATGTTTCTCTCATTGAAAGAGACATTAATAATTCTTGGGTAAGTTTTTGTGTTCCAAAAGCAACAGCACCACTAGTTACCATCATAACTTCTCTTCCTTCTAAATGACATTCAGCTACCTACATATACAAATATAAATTAATGTTAAAAATTTTAATATCGTTAAAATATATGAGTATATTAAAATAATTATGAGAGCGATAGTGGTTTTTTTAATACTATATGTTATCGTAAAAAGGATATAATTAAAAAAAGGAATAAAAAAAATAAACTTAATTTTTACTAAAACTATAATTTGTACTTGTGGTTCTTTCTTTTCTGTTGAAAGAAAACCAAATGAATTTCCCCCAATTTTTCATTATAAAAGCATTTATGTGCATACAAGTAAAATGCAAAAACCAAAACTTATTTTCTCTTTATATTTTTTTTATTAATAAAAATTTTTTCTCTTTTCATTTTTCCCGTTTAAATTGAATTAAGAAAACTTAATTTTCCAAAATGAAAGAAATATTTTCCGATGCATTTTTCAAAGAAATTTTTTATTTAAGGTCATCAGGGTTAAAAGAAACAGGAATATTAATAAGTAGGTAAATACAAAATTGAAATTATATTGCCTTGCTAACGATCTTTAAATAATTTAAATAATTAATATTAAAATAGCCATTTTGCTTATAACAAAATGGTATACGCACGTACGTACATACTCACTACAGCATTATGCCTATACTTTCGTCAAGATGTTAAGATTTTTAAAACTTTTGCCTTAAACAAATATAATGTGCTTAACAGACCATTAAGAAGCATATTTTTAAAGCTAAAATTAAATGAATTGAGTAGGAATCTAGCACCACTTAAGTTTTTTTTAGAATATACGATTTTTGAATGAAACTAATTGATATTGCTTTTTTGGAAGTACGAGTATGTACGTTTCTTTGAGAATTTCATACAAAATATGATTATTATAAAATACAAATTTTAGTAGATTTAAGTGAAAATTTCCTACAATATCTAATTAATCAGAAACTATGATTTTTGCATTTAATACGCTACGAATACATCAGTTCAAAAAAATATTTGTACAAAAGTTTGTGCATATTAAAAATAAAAATTACAAGATTTGTTAAGTAGCACATTTCCGCTTACATCTATTTTCATTCTCCTTCTTCTATTCTTAATAATTTAAAGCTTACTTTTGAGTAATAGAACGTTTACTATAACGCTCTTTGTTTCAAAAAACTACTTTGTACCTTGATTAAGTTGAACAGGATAAGTTGAACAGTAATTTTGTTTTATTTAATTTTGCTTTTTTAAGTCGAACAGAAAGTTAAAAGTAATACGAGTAGCTAAATTTTTTTCTAAAATTTTGCATGTGCTCAAGCGCTATATGTAGAAATAAATAGACAAATAAAACTAATTATAAATTTAATAGAATTTTTAATGTAAGTGTAATGAAAAATCATTTCATTTCATAATGAAGAACCACGATTCTTATAATAATTTTATAGTACCTTTGCATAAAATAATTGCAGGAAACGTGCCTGTCATCCTGATTTTTCTACTTCTCTTTTCGTAGTAAATAAAAAGGAGTTTGGTAATAAATAAAAAAAATTAAAAATATTCCAATATTACGGATACCATACGCTTACATAAAACTAAAATTTTTGTTAGTAAAAGAATTTTCTTTGACAGGTAAAGAGTTTTCTTCTTTTATAGAAATTAACAAAAAATCCAATAAACTACATTTACTTTGTCTCTTTCAAAAAGTTTTACATTAAAGGTAAAACAAATAAGTTCTTATAAGAAACTTGTTTCAATAAAAAACAAACGAATTCCTTATTGCGTTATTCTCGTTTTACAGAAGCATGCATATTATTAAATTTTTATGAAGAAAATTTGGAAAAATTAAGGTTAAATTAATTTTCATTTTTTTCTGAAAAATAGAAATTGTATAACATGACTCCTTTTTTCATATAATTATTAAATAATTAAGAAATAAAATTTTTTTTATTAGAAAAAAAGAAAAAGAACTCAATCAGAAATCCACAAACTTTCATCTAAATGCCTTTTTGAGTATTAGAGTATTCGGAGTATTTTTTGAATCGTTGTTTAAAATTTTGAATAAATACATGCATTTACTTTAATTAAGAAACTAACCTTCAATTCGCCAATCCAAATTCACGAGTAATACAAAACTGATACTAAAATAATAGTACACAGGGATTTTTGAAAGAGATTTTTTTTTTTGGGTTTTTCAAATAAACATGAAGACGCTTCGGACTCAACATAATTTTTGATAATATACTCTTAATAGCACAGTAATTATTTTTTTTTAAAATCTCATTTTTTCACAAAATATATACGAAAAAAAAAAATATAAATTAATTTACCTGTTCAACAATTGAAGCTAAACGTCCCAATGCTAATCCATTATTATCTTCTCGAGTTATAACAGCACTACCCAATTTAATAATAATACGTCTTGCATATTTTAATTGATTACGTTCCTTAAATATTTGATGACGTTTATCCAATAAAAAATTTCTTTTCTCGAATGTTGTCGCCTGTTTTCAATATTACAATAAATGAAAAACAAAAAGTAATTAATTATACATTTTTGTTTTTTTTTTAAAACTTATAATAACATAATTTAAATTATTGTGATGCAACGCGTGTACAACTACATATACATTTATATTATAGAGAATTGAAATCAGTTTTTTTTTTAACTTTCTGATATTTTAAAAACTTTTTGTAATTAATCTTTACTTTTTCATTTTATAAAACCAAAGTCAACACAGTAATATGTTAAATCCTGGCACTATAAGATATTTTTATATAAAACTGTAGAAGCCTTTCTTATTATGCGATATAATTGGATCCGTGTATCATATGTTATTCTGAGCAACATTATAAATAGTTTATATTTAATTAAAATAGAAATTATTATTAGCAATTTATTTTTTTCACTATTTTTATAATGGTTTAAGGAACTATTGTAATTTCCACAAAAAAATTAATAGAATTTTAGGTGTATTTTTATCCGAAATACTTATTATATTCAAATTTCCAAAAAAACAAACCCAAATTTTAATAATTTATTTGCTAACATCATTTTTAAAATTTTTGAATTAAATTATATTAGGTATTAATTTTGGAATTTATAGTTACGTACATAATACGAGTATCTTAAAGTACTTACTAGGTTTTACATAATATTATTGAAAATTTTTGAATAAATTTCTATAATTACTAATCGAACAATTATACTGCACTTCTCAAAATAATAATCCATCAAAGATTCTTTTAATCAATTGACACAATCTTTTTTTTAAATGATCACACTGAATTTATATACATATGTATAATTATTATATATATGTATGTGAATTATGAAAAAATAGTATGAATTAACGATCATTTACATCATAAATATTATTATTCATAGCAAATTATTCTTGAGAATAAATGCAAAAATATTGCCTACTTCTGGGATATTCAATTTTCAAAATGAAATTTTTATTACAAATAAAAATGTATAAGAATTCTATCTCAAATTTTCCTCTATAAATTTTATATGTAAATAATAAAAATTTCAATTTTACCTTAAAAGAATCAAAAAAGACACCAATCGAACAAAACAATAATATTTTTTAAATATTACCAATTTATTTTATTAGAAAAATTAAATTGTTACAAATGAAGTAAAAGATCTTTTATATAAGTTTTTAAAGTGATTCAAGTGGTTACGATATAAAAAAAAATAAAAAAAAAAAATTTTCGATTTTAATTAAAGAAAAGGTGTACAAAAGAAAAATTTAAAATAATAAAAGGAAAACTGATTTTCTATTTTCCATTCCTCTTTTATCAATTTCAAGAAAATTTAATTAATTACCTTAATGAAAGGTCAAGCTGTTCAGAATTTTTATGAATTTTGTTTTTACTCGTAACCATAACTTTTCTCAATTTTATTTTCATTTAAAAAAAAATAACAAACAAGTAGATAAACTGTGAAAAAAATGTGCTATGAACAACAACAAAATACAAAAAATTTAATTAATAAAATTGCAAAATGACAACTATACATCATTGTTTTTTTCTGTTTTTCATTTATTTGTACAATTTCGGAAAATTTAAAGAAATTCTTAAATAGTTCGTGGAATTTTTTGTAACCCTTTGAAATTATTTCACATAAAACTAAATTGCGAATTCTATTTTTTAATTTTCTCTTTTTATTTTTACGTTTTCTTGTTATAAAATTAAGACTAACTTCAATATTTTTTTAATAATTTTCACATAAAAAGTAATGAACACATTTTTGAAACCATGGCCATTGTTATAAATAAAATAATTTTAATTAAAAAAGCAAAGCCTTCTTTTTAATATTGAAATGGAATTATATTTAAATTAAATAGACAAAGACGAGGCCTACCCGTCTGCAATTTACAATATTAGATTTGAGAATAGAAATAATTTTTTGAAAATTATTAGAAAATTTAAGCATAGGTATTTAAAGAATAACGTAATAGTACCCAAAAGGGAATGTTAATTGAATCTGAATAAATTTTTAAAACCGAATTTATAAAAATGAAGAGAAAACAATTTAAATGTGCACTAAATTTCTTTTTAAACAACATTTATGATATTCAATATAATTATCATATACCAATGTAGCTAAATTACTATTATCGCTCTTAAATATTAATTATCAAAAATAGTTCCATAAAAACTTTACTATTGTTATAAATGTGAGGTAACTTTCTTACTACTATTTTGATTAATTTTGCTGTTATTTGTAATGAAATACTGTTAACACTATATTTTTATATTAATTTAAGAGAGTTTAGATGGATGCTTAGATATAGACACATAATTTATATATATGTGTCTATATCTATTATATTATATTAATCATTTTATATTAGAATAATAAAATTAACTCTTAATAAATAAAATTGTTATCACAAAATCACAAGTTTATTAATATAGATGTGGGTATTTGTTAACTAATTTAGAATACAAATTAATCTATGTATATGAATAACATTATCTATAAATATATTTACTCAATCTACTCAACATTATTTTTATGTTTGTGAAATATAAACACATATATGTATATACATATATATATACATATACGTATATACAATTAATTAATTAATTGTACAATTGTGCTTGTATATGTACATACTTATAATTGGAATGTATAAATAAAATAAATTATAAAGGCGTATTCATTTCATTATAATGGCGTATTTTATATTAAAACATAAGGTTCATATACACCTGTAAAACTTAGTGTTACTCGAGTTAATTTGAAGAATTTATACATATGTACAGTCATTTATTCCAATATTGTATTTAAAAAGAAACACACACAAATTTAGTTATAACTAAAATTTTTTCAGTATTTCTTGAGCTTTTGTCGCTGTCCACATGCGGGACTTTAAGAAAGGTGGTACCAAAATACGATCATAGAAAATGGGATGAGTTCGTGATGAGGTCTCATGTGGAAATTGCTTGTCTGATGGCATTCAACACGAGACACTGCCCGAGGAAAAATTTGGCTAGGTTGGGATTGCCCTTCAACACAACATGTCGCAGCAACTGTGAAATAGACAAGAAGGAGAACATTTTTCGTTATATCTACGAGTGCCCACCTCTGGTCGGTGCCTGACTATTCACGTGGGTACGCTCAATAACAGCCCTGTGATCACGTGGCAGTGGTAACAAAACGGCACATTTATCCTAATTAGGGTAGTTAAATTTCTGCATTCTGCATTTGACCTCATGCAAATATAGGAGATATATTTACTAAAAAAGATTATATTAAAAATGTTTATTTAAAACATTATATGAAGAATAATTATTGCAAACACTTAATCTATAAACCAATAATTGCAAAGCCTATAACAATAATATGCTTCATATTTTTCATTTAAAAATTATTCTAACTCAAAATTTTTACTCAATACAATATAAATCAAAATGCATAAGTAAATGAAAAAAGTTTTTTTATATTGAAAAATTTTGGAAGTAAGTAAGCAATGAATAAATTTCCTGTCTAGTTTTTAGAATAAATTACAAATTCATTCATTTGAGTAATTTCATTTACCTATATCTTATTACAAGAACCAAATTTCCAAAATATTTTCGTTTTTTAATAAAATTCTTTGAATTTTTAATTATTAAAAAATGTTAAATATTTGGTTAATCTAAATTAAGGTACATGATAAACCTTTACACTTAAAATTACACTTATAGGCAGAAACGAAAGAATTTTAAATTAAATTTTTAATTAAATTGTGGGTAAGTAATGAACTTGAATTATTTTTACAATTAATTTTTGAATTTTAATATTGAATGGAAAAATATTTTCAAAATATTTACACGTCATGTAATAAAAATATTATTTCTATTAAATTCATAATTTTGAAATTTAGCTGAAATTTCCAACTTTTTAATATACAGCTATGTATGTATTTCCAATAAATTTCACTTTATATGCATATGTTAATATTAGTACTAGTAAGATTTTAACTATAAATATATTTAAAATTTTTATGATTGTTAAAAATTTACAGTAAAATTTTAATTAGGATTTACAGATTAAAAAAATAAGTTTACAGATTAAAAAAAATTTACAGTAAAATTTCATTTAAGAGAAATCACTAAATTTCAGTGGAAGTATATTGAAATTTAGTTTTTAAAATCACAAATATTGCAGAATTTTGAATATACTTGTTATATACACTTTAAATAAATATTTTTTAAATATTTAATCTATGTATATGTGTTAATTATTCTTTTAATTTGTCTTAAATCTCTAAGATAATTATTTTTATAAGCTGAAAATTTGTTTTATATTTTACTAATTTACACTATATAAAAGTTATATGAACATGTTAAAAAACTTTATTATATATAGACTATAAATATTATATTATAGTCCTTGAAGATGTACAAACACTGTAGTCGAAATATTGGAATTAATTTACAAGAAAATTTATAAATTAAGCCTAAAATTTATTTAAATGACTTAAGAATTAAAATTGACTGGTGATTCATTTAAAAATACTGTTCAAAATTTTAAACACTGAATAGAAACTAAAATGTACATATGTATATACATAACATTATCGTAAAACACATATTATATGTATAACAAAAATGATTTATGAAAAAAATTTAAATTAAAGAAAGAAATTATTTTAAATCGTAGACAAAATAATTACCATTAAATTTAATTTCAAAAAGAGTTAAATTATAATTAACCTTCATTCTATACATTAATTTCAAAATTTCTAGTATATATAGAATGTATACTTCATATATATACTAATCAAATTGAGTAGCTAAACCTTTAAATTTTATTGTATAACAAATCATTACTATAATTTATATTTATCAGCCTTACACAACGTACTTTCTATTATATGTATAGAGTATATACATATACAAAATTCTAATTATAAAAATTTTTTAATATAAGTCTATATACTTCATTAAAAACCATAAAATAATAATATTTATAATAACATATACACACATTTCATACTCACTGTTAATTGATTATATTAATTTTATTTACTTAAAATTTAATATTGCAAAACATGACATTATTGATAAGGGTGCAGTATAAATAACACTTTATTTACTTCATATCATTATCATTTATAATTTTAATAATAATTAGATTAGTATAATATTTTCAATTGATAATTTAAAAAAAAAAGAAATTTTTATGCATTTGAATTATATTATGAAAATAATGAAAATGGGTTTATAGATTAAATTTTAATAAATTCACAATTATTCCAATGAAATTTTAATGAATGTTATTTGAGAAATAATAAAGTTCAACAAACAGAATTACATATTTTATTTTTTTGAAGTAAAACAATAAATTCAATTTGAAATTGTTATATATATCCCTCTTAACATTCATATAAATTAAAACCCAAATTTTATTAGATTTATCAGGTTTTATAATTAAACACATATGTTAAGTATGTATGTACATAAGTAAGTAAGTAAGTAAGTAATTAGGTTAATAAACTCAATTATAAATTTCTTTTTTATTTTGTCTATATTTGATTAAGACATTTAATTCAATCTTGTCAAATAGCTACAGTTTTAAAAAAAAATTAAAATTAAAAATAAAAATATAATCAGAGTTATTCTAATTGTCTATTCAAAATGTAAGAATGTGTGCAATTTGTATATATACATATATACATAAGTATGTCATATCTCATACAACTTGAAAATATATAATATATTAAGTAAACAGACCGTCCTATCTTCGAAATAAGTATATGTATTTGCTATATAAACAATATATAATATTATGAGTCCCAAAATAATAATTATCATAAGAAAATATATGGTCAGTAGGTCAGATTCTATATAGGAACAATATATATCACAAAAATTCCAAAATAAAAATCTATTTAAAATGTTAGCAAACGTTATATGTATGTAATATATTGTTGTTATATGTATATGTAGCACATGCATACCTATTGAAATATACTGAAATCTTAATTAATTAATTTAAATGCAATGCACGCATTGACTATGTTCCGTTTAAATGTAATTAATTAACATTTTAAAATTATAAGAATCCACGAATCGCGTTCAGTTATAAAGAGTACAGCATCCTGTATAAAAGCGAAGTTAAGAAGAGTGGTATTTACGGATATGAAAATGAGTTCCTGTATATATTTAGATATTTCATAAGTATTTTTGTTAACTCATAAACGTTAAGTTCTTTAACATTTAAGTTAACAGGCTTGTTTTAGCTATTATAATATTATTTAATGTGATCGTATACACTGGCCATTATTAATAACTTCTTTCTAGATAATAATAATAATATTCTAAAATCTAAAACATACTTTCCGCTCATAATGCGATGTAAATATTTATAGAAAAAATTATTCAATTTTTTAAATATAAAGCAAATTTTAATTATGTATTTTGATATAAGCAATTCAAGATCAAGGTAAAATGTTAGATATTTTTCTTATCAAAATAACATTGCCATATTGCTGTTTGATTTTTTTTTTTTTTTTTCAAAACTATATTGTCAGATTATGCTACTGTTTTTTATTAAATTCAACAAAATATGAAATAGTTTGAATGAATAAAATGAAAAGATTAATTAACATTTGATTCTATAATGCTTGGATTTGTTTTTTTTTATACAATTTGTTGTCATAATAAATAAATATAAAAAATAATTTAAATTACATATTGTATAACACAAAATAAAAATATATTTCGTATAATGTATTAAAATTAAAATTGATCTATCATTGCATTGCTATACCATCACATGTGTATAGTAACCACCAATTTGTATAAGAGTTGTCAACCACATTACTTGTATAATAGTTTGGATTGTGTATCTTGGATTACTGTTTTAATCTTTTAGAGTAGTATAAAACATTTAAATAGTTTTATATTTTAAATTAGAACGCAATATCGTAAAAATCAATGTTATATTAATTTACATCATATTGCACTTTATTCACAACTCTTAAACAAATCACAATAATAATTACAATATTCATTTTTATTTTAAATACATAAAAAATATGATTTTTAATATAAAAAAAAATATGACATTATCATTAAGTTTTATAATAATTTTCTATTAATTTTAAATTGATTTTGATAATAATAAAATGACATTTCCAATATATTCATTCATTAATTCATGATAGCTTCGTTGACCTTTTGCTTTATTTTAAAATATACTAGCGCACATACATATGACATATATGTAATATCAAAAATAAAAAAAAAAACAAAATTGTTGTAAATCAAAACCTGTCAATATCTAGTCAATTTTAAATTAATAATTTTAATCAAATTACAAAAATAAAAAGAAAATTACAAAATTTATTACGACTTTAAATTCTATAAATTCTTAATAATTGAATAAATTTAAAAGAAATTCTTACATAATACAAAAAAAAATATTATAAATTTTTTTTTTATTAATCCTTTTTCCCAATATAATGACTTACAGTTTGTCTTGATCCTTGACCATCTGATGATGCACATCGTATTAAAATATTATTAAAATTACTACTAGTAAATGAAATTTTGTTATTTAAATTTTTAATATTTTGCTTATAAATTGAACATCCGGTTGTTTTTAAAATTTTAACAAAACGATTCATTTTGATTTTGTGTTTTTTTTTTATTAAATATATAAATTAAATTGAAAAAAAAAATTATATAAAATATCACTAAATTATAATCGAATTTGTTATCACTACCATCAATTTATTTTAATATTATAATTATTAATTTTAATAATTTATAAAAGATATATTGAATTTAATTGGCAAGTTTACACTATTAATAATTTAAGTGTTATATTATATAACAAAAAATTATAATAATAATTTTTAATCACAGTTCAAAATAGTTAATTTTTTTTTTTTTTATTTTAAAATTGAGATGTTCGTCGACGAAAAGCGTTCAAGTGACTGAAAAGGTCCAAGTTTCTTATATTTTTTTTATAATTTGTCTTAAGTCTCACTTAATTATAATTATTCTATATACGTATAGTATAATATGTATATGTGAATGTTATAAAAAAATTGTATTTGATGTGTCGGTCATTTGAATTATATTTTTATTATTGATAAGAATATAAATTTCATATACTATATAATAGATTCAATTCACTTATCAATTAGTATACACAACATAATATTTACATTCTTATCATATATATTATATACTAACTAATATAATAAGTATGTATATGATGTTTATAGAGTGTGAACATAATATTATTGAATACTAATCTTTTAATAATTGGTATTATTATATATATTTTAATTTTGGTCGTACGAACTAAATTGTTGATATAAATAAAAATAATTAAATTTTTAAAGCATGTACGCATAAATACAATATATATATATACGAGTATATACACAATTTGGTATCACACATTTAGTGTGTGTTATTATAAAATATTTAAATATACATATAATATTTTATTATATTATGTAATGCGAAACTTTATACATAAATTGTGATAAAATTTTCTCATTCAATTTACCTGTTTGTAATTACACCAATTATAACATAATTTTCTTATATAATCTAAATTACATGTGCTCAACATGTGTATGTATATGCATAAGAAAATTTTTTATATTCGCAAAAAATAATTGGAATTTTTTTTTTCTTATGCTTGCATATATTAACGCAATACACATTATATTAGAAAGGAAAATTTAACGTGAATCGTGAAATGAAAATTTAACCAAAACAGTTTTAATTTAGAGCCGCAAATTTTGTAACCACAATTTGCAACTGCAAATTTTGTAGCCGAACTATTGCCGAACTAGAAAATTTTTAGAGTAAAATAACAAAAACGAACTGTGACTGCAGTTTGAACTTAGAACATCAAACATACTGAACCATACTCTTTCCAAATTTTCATTCGCATTTACGGATATACTCGTTTAAATACGATGGACTGCGATTGGTTTTTAAAATTCTGAAATTAAATTTAAAAAAACCTGATTTAGGTATGCATATAGATAAAATTTAGAAAACAATTAATCGTTAAATATTGTCTATAGGCATTCATAGAAGCTTGATCAAAAACTATTTCATATACTATAACTTCATCCACTTTTAAGAAAAATCCTTATACGTTAAAATCATGCCGAAAGTGTATGAAATTTTCCTGAAATATGATATTCTGAAAATAAAACCTACACAACTTTGAATATAACCTGCCCCATATGAAAGAATTAAACTCAAAATAAAACATTTTAAAATCAATATTTACTGCAAATTCATCTATGCATTTAAAATCTATGCTTTAATTAAAAATGGTTTTACAAAAAATATTTATTACAAATAATACATTAAAAGTAGTTAAAATAGTAGTAAAAATAATTACATTTTTGCATGTGTGTGTGTATATAAATAAATCTATATAAAGAATCTTTCTCCATAAAACAAAATACGAGATGGTCTTTGAATAATAATTAGCAGCACTATCATAAATTTCGCTCGTATCCCTGAAATTCGAAACATTACGAATATCATATTGTTAATTCCGAATATTATTAAAATTCTACTTCGAAAATTCGTAATAGAGTAATTACAAATTATGCGTTCATTATAGAGCTCTTAGCAGCTAAGTTCGTAAATCATAGGATTCTACGAATGGAATTCATTATAGGGCAGTAGATTATTTTAGTTGTTTTTAAAAACAAACACGCGTATATAACATAACAATGCGATACATACTTACATGTATACAAAATACATAAAAATGTAATTGATTTTAATTGTATTAAATAAATCGGAAGTTAAATTAGCTTGAATTTAACATGGTAGTTGCCTGAGTATTTAAAAAAAAACTTACTTGTACATAAGTAAGTACATTGTATTGTAAGCAGTAACACTCAACTTCAAGTATACATTTTTGTTTCGCTCTTATGATTATTTCTTATATAAATGTAGAATTTTTATTCATATTTTATTAGGTATTTCTGATATATGTACATACATACATATATTATTAATATTAAATCAATAGTTCAAGATTTGATTAAAAAAATCAAATTGAAAAATATAAAATTGCCTTTTCTAAATTTCCAAAATTCTTTGCCTAATTCTAGTTTTAAGTAGATAGGATTTTTACTTGCTTATTTAATATATTGATAATACATTTTATCTTATTATATTTAACCCTGAAAATAAATAAACAATTGTTAGTTGAACTTTATACACAACTATAATGATGTTAGTGTAAATAAATAACTCGTATATAACTATCAATAAAACTATATAGTGTGATTAATCAATAAACTATACTTATTGATTAAGAATACAATTTACGAAAAATTTTAAGATCATAATATTAAAAATAATTTTAATCCTCAATTTAAATTATAAATCATATAATGGGTTTTTCAATAGAGGTGGCAGCAATTGGAGCTATTAATGTAGCTTTATGTAAATTGAAAGATCGGTTTATTTTTACCAGTTTTATCCAACAAAGTTAAGAATTCCATTATGAACATACACTTCAAAAATTTTTAAAAAACCATTCAGGTTATTTAGAGAATTTCGGCAATTTATTAACGGCAATTTATTTACGGCAACTCCTTTTTAGAGGAGTCAACTAACAAAATTATTATTATTATAAAGTGAAACAAATTCACAAATTTTTCCGCAAGTAACATTTCTATTCACTGAAAGTATGAAAGTTTTTGACAACGGAGAGTATGAACGTACCCAACAACGCTGATTTCAGCAATACAACGACCGCCCATAGGACGGGAGTTTGGCCTAGGTATAAATATTCAAAACACTACTAGCGCTATTAGCGAATATTGAACGCTGCGCTATGAGGATATACCGAAAATATTGAACAAAGTGAGTGAAAATTTAAAAAACAAACAAATATTAGACAAAAAGTGATTTTAAATATGTAAAATAGAAATGGAAAATTGTTCAACACCTGCTATTTTTCTATTTAAAATATTTAGATAATGTGAAATAAAATTTTCTATAGCTACAATAAAATTAAAAATTCCAGTACAATAATGAATATTATGTTATATTTTATATTTCATTTAAATTATATTATTTTGTAAATAATTTAATTTCATTCCGTTTTATAGTCAGATACAAAAGCTGGATTATCATTTCCATTAATGTAACCATTTCCTAATAAATTATTTCTGCGTTCATTCAAAACAGTTCTTCGGCGTTCAATTACAGATTTTCGATTATTTTCAAGCCTTGTTATTGTTTTACGGCGTAACGGTACTTCATTATACTTCAGTTTACCTAAAAAAATTTTACAAATTAATATTTAAAATTTCATGAATTTTAATTTTTTTTATATAATATAAAAATTGGGTAAAACAATGAGAAGAAACAAAACAAACCTGCTTCAAATCTTCTTTCAAAATTCGTTTGCAAATCACTCCAATCTTTTGGATCATTATATGCTTTTGAAGAAGTCAATCTATATATCGTATTTCTACGAATTGGTTCATCAGAATTATCTTCAACATCGGAATCATCTTCATCAATTCTTTTTGGTTTCTGTGATTTTTTAGCAATTTCAACTGTTGTGCCACGCAATTCTTCAATAAAAGTATCTTCATTATCATCATCCTAAGTATATGCAATTGTTTTAAAATTCTATTTTAATTCTATAATTAATTTCAAAATATTTAACATACATTTGATCCACAACAAAATATATTTAATTGTGTTGTTGCTAATATTTGTGAAATTGTTGCAAAACGATGAAATAACATTGCAACAAATTGAATGAATAAAATTAAACCGAACAATAAAACAAAACATAAACCAATTGGATCCAATTCTAAATGCTCTCGAAAAATCATCACTTCATGTCGTTCATTAAATGTTATGGTATCTTTTGCATGAAATGGCCAAATAAAATGCAAAACACTTTTCTTACTCTGTAAAATTAAAACGACCAAAACAAATAAAGCATTTATCATGACGAATGCAAAACAGACGATATCACGTAAGCCTTTTAATTCTTCTTTCACTTTATTTTTATCATCATCGCTTTGGAATAAAGGACGTAAATATTTTTCAATTAATTTTTCCCAAAATTTTGTTTCCTGAGGTGATAAATCTGATATTTGGAAATCATTTAATAATGGATCATCTAACCAACCGGGCTCATATATTTCTTCTTTTGGAGGAGTTTTTTCATTTTCTTCAGATTCTTTTTTATTTGGATCTTCCTACATATAGAAAAAATAAAAACATTATTTTGTTATTATTGTCATTTAAGATTTTTTAAGAAATTTTAATAACTTTAGTCACTAAGGACGTTTTTGTTGTTAAGTATTGTATGGCCAATATTATACGAGTATTAAATATTTTTATTTTCTATTACTCGACCCAATCTTAAAGTTAAAGGCGTTCAATTTAATTTTTTAACAAAATAAAGAAAAAATGTGACAAAAATAAAAACATAAAATAATTTATAACCTAATAATATTTAAAATTATTATTTCAAATAAAAAGAAGAGCATTCTAATCGCCTAATTTAAATATACCAAATCCTAGCATTTAATATTATCCTGGCAAAAAAAAATGAGCAACATATTTTACTGCGATTCTCTTTTCATACATTAAAAACTAAGGAAATAAATAAAAATAAAATGATATTGTATATAATCCATAAATTTACATGAATATTTTCTTCACTTGGCTGCGACATAACCACAATTTCCCCAGATAATTTCCTGTATAAACAAAAATATATAAAAAAAAAAAAATTAAATTTATTATTTTTGTACAATTTTATATTTTATACGTTTTTTTCTGAATATCAAAAATTTTATACAGAGTAACCCAGAACTGGTGATGATTTCTTGGAGTTTGAAACGAAATTGTTCATGTGTGGTGGAAGAGATGCTCAAGTTGCAAACAACACATTGCTCTCACTTAAACAGCTTCGGAACTTTTATGGATAAAATCAGACAGAATGTTTTCATTCTGATTTTCATTAACTCTAACTTCCCGTAAATGTCCGAGTTTCCCCTCTTCCATCACAAGAACGAATTTTTTTTTTTTAAAATTCAAAATAATTACCATCCATAACCTTAACATTATATACATAGTTCTGGACCACCTTGTACGCATGATTTTCTTTATATACACGTATTCATTTTTTCAATTCAAATTAAACGTATACGTTCTGCACATACGAGTATAGTATTATGAATTTAATGTGTACATAAATATTATGCCATCTAAATGTTTACACACATGTTAGTAAACTATATGTATTATATAAATTATTAACAGTATATAAGTTTGTAATATAAAAAATATACCTAATATATTAAAGAATATTAACTTACATTTCGAGAGTTCTTAATTTTGTATTCAATTCTGTTAGACTTTCTGATATTAAAAGTAATTGAGTTTCAGTTGTATTAGTCTTTTGATGTGTACAAAACATACAACGAAATAAACCAGAACATGCTAAATCAAAACTTCCTTCTTCATCTTTATTTGGTTTTAAATTATAAAATAATTGTTGAAATTTAGACATTTTTTTATCATTTAAATTTGATTTGTTTTTATCCTGAAAAAAAAAATTGTATTAATTAAAATAATTCTCAATCTTTTAAGAAGAATGGTAAAGTATTATACATATAAAAAAATAAGGATATTCTATATAACAATAATATTTTGAAGGCTCATGCTTTATTGAATTGTAATCCACAAAAAATAAAATAAATATTCACTTTTATATATGAAATTTAATGCCCCAAGCTTTAATAAACATTATTATATACATATGTTAATATGTACATAAAAATTAAATTTTATAACAAATAATTTCCATAAAGTGAAAATAAAGATATTTAGACTTTTTAAACGTACATTTTTCGCCAATAAAGCCTTTTGTTTAGAAGTAGTGAAAATAATAAAAACTAAACGTTTCTCTTTTATAATAAGTATTTAACGGTCTATAACAAATTTTCCAAGAGCTAATCAAATTTAAAATTCGAAACTATGTTTCTATATTTTACAGAATATACAACTAAAAATTCAGTAACGTAATCCTCCTTAAACGTAAAAACATAACGTAAGCCTCCGAGTAACATTTGCAGATTATAGATTTGTATATCAAGGACAATAATGCATCGAGACCACGTACAAGGATCCCTGAATGCATTGCATTCCCTACAACACACACTCGAGACCCACCGTCCTGATGAACTCAAGCAACTTGTGAGACGTGTAACATTTACAAATATAAGAATAAATTTAAAACTTTTCTGGAATAATTTGCAATAGAATATAAAATTTTGTTGACCATACGAGTAATAGTTGACTTCAAATCCTGATATCGAACACTGATCTCAAATTTATTCACATATACTTATATTAAAGTTTCAACGGTAGTGCTTCTAAATTTTACGTGCAAGACCTAGAACTACGAGTGCCAGATACAATCAAAAAATCCGAAAATAAATTTTTGCCCTATGAGTTGTTCAAATTTCTTGTATTTTCTAAAAGATGTTTAAAATTTAAAAAAAAAAATTAGATTTTGAAATTCACTGTTATAAAGCGTAAAAGAGTAAAAAAAATATTTATTTATAATTAATTTTCTATTTTGGCAAAAACATTTTATCTGTGTTCATTATTTTGAAATTTTTGTGTATTAAAAATTACAAGGGTTAGAAATTATAATATTTTTAGGCCTTTAGGTGATTAAAATTAAAAATCATTGTTATATAGATACATCCCATAAATACGTATATGTGGATATATCTATGTATTATTCCTAACATATGCATATTATTCTTAAGCCGGAAGCAATACTTTTGAAAAGAAAATAATTTAAATAATGTTTATTTATTTATTTGACAAAAATTGGTCAAGAAAAATGTTAAAAAAAAATTATTATTTTAAAAATGGGTAGCTATTCAATATTCAATATAAAAATTGAAAATATTAAAATTTAATTTCGTTTTATATATGTATGTACATAGCTATGTGCAATAATTTTCTACTTTCGTTAATATTATATAAATGATATCAAAAATTATAAAAATCATATTTACCTCTTGTTGATCTTGTGGAGGTTTTATATCTCTGGTACCCCAAGAAACATCATTCATATTAAAAACCGAATAAATCAATAACAACATATACATAGATGGAATAGTAATAAAATAAATTATACCACACCATAATGCTCCAAATTCTTGTGGATGTAAAACACCTGCAATAATAGGAAAATATAATTGAAGAAAATTTTTCTATTTTCCATAAGATCTGCACTGCAAGTAAAGGTATACGAAACGTTTTTTTAAACTCTTATTTCACAATATTCAATATATTATCATTAAATTATTGGTATTCCAAAAATGCCATAGAACTTTCAATTTTTAACAATCTATATTGAAAATCTGAATTTCTTGGTTCATATTTTTAATACATCAATTCAATTTTTAGATGGACAAAGAAAAATAATATTTAATATTAAATTTACCTGTGATAGTTATTTGCAAGACAACAGAAAGGAAGAAAAGTGATGTTGGGGAATATATACTGTCCTCTAACATTTGAATTGCTATACCAATAATAACAGCCATCATCACCAAACAATACAATGAACTTATAATAAAAGCTGCTATCAACTATTCAAATTATTCCAAAAAGGAAGTATAAAAAGGAAACAATTAAATAAAAATTAATATCAAAATATTTTCAAAAAACAGAAAATTTTCCAATACACATATTGACATATACACACTTTAATTATAATCGGGTTAAACTACAATTAAAAGAAAATAAAAAATTAAAGGAACAAAATATAAAGTATACCTGATACTTTTGTTTCATAAAAAAGCATATTAACATAAATCCAGCTACAGGTATTACATTATATATAAATGATGTCCATATATCAACCGAAAATACTGCAACAGCAGCACCAATAACCATTAAAAATATTGTACCAGGCCCCAATATTGTACCAACCATTAACATACCCTGATATATAATATATGGTGTTGATATGCTATTGTTATTTTTAACAATTAATTTTGCATCACCGAGTAAATCAAATATATTTGCGATTGTTGATGGTACCCAACGACGACGTTGATTATAAAATTCATTAAAATTTTCTGGTGCATGTGTATATGCATCTGATGCAGCTGAATATTCAACACGAAATTTTTGTTTTAATAATAATGTACATAACCATCTATCTTCACCCTGATCATATTGTACATAATGTCTTGCCTCTTTTGATACAGTTGTATATTTTTTCATTACACTATTTTCCATTAATGCTCTACCACGAAATAATGAAAAACAGCCAGGACTACAGAGTACACAACCGATAACATGTTCTGTTGCTTTTTGTAACCAATGACCAATTGCATATTCAAATACTTGATACCATACCATTGGACCTTTACCAACTGGATGTATACGACCGCATGCAGCACCTAAATCTGGATCAACTCTCATACGTCCAATAAGTAAATGTACAGCTTGTGGTTGAAAATCAATATCACCATCCAATGCTAATATAAATGTATTTTGTGCAATTACAATTTTACGTTTTGGTGATATACCATCCATTTCCATTATACGAAATCCTAATAAATAATACATGTACATAACCTGTGACCAACGTTTTTTATGACGTATTTTATCTTTATTTTTTAAATGGGCAATCATTTTTGTACGACCAGGTAATGTCCATATTAAACGTCCACCATATGGTGTTTTAATTTTTGTTGGAGGTTTTATTTTAATTTTTGTATTATAAACAACTTCGGCTGCTTTTTCAATACTTTCAACTAAACTTTTAACAAACATATTTATTGGTGGATTTTCAGGATCTTCACATCTCTTATCAATAATAAATGCATCATCGAAGAATATATTTACTAAAAAATAAAAAAAATTTATATATTAGAAATAGAATCACTATTTTGGTCAATTATAATATTGAAATGAGTTCGTTCTTTGAAGTTTAAAAAAACTTATATATTTAACGTCATTTACAAGAATTAAATAATGTTTGTACCAAATGAAGCCAAAATACCAAATGAAATTTGACATGAAGTGAAATATAAAATTTCTACTCCAAATACAATTTACTTGAAATTAGTTATTTATGATTAGCCGCCGCATATTGCTCACGTTTCATTTAAGGATGATAAAATATTGCAACTCTCTTGAAAATTTCTCCATACAATTCAGTAACAACACGAACTTTTAGATTTTTTTGAAGTTTTAAACAAAATTTACATCGATTTACAAGTTTAATTAAGGAAGTTTATTAGCAAATGTTACTCTGTTGTCTGTTTACATATAATGTAACACGCATACATGTAAAATTACCTGTAATACTGAAATTTTAAGGACAGTAAAGGTTTCTATCATTCAAAAATTATAACATCTACTATAGCAATACTATATTTTAGTATTTTATTATTTGTATAGCAAAAACAAAAAACATTTTAATAAATTATATGTTCCATTCATATTTAATTTTCATTAAAGGATTAGAATTGATAAATTGTTCAAAAATTAAACTTATAGGTATATATATATGAAGATATGAGTAAGAGTTGTACCACAATTTGAATTTCATTATGAAGTGATTTCAACCTATGAATTTAATATAATTTTGCCATTCATTTTATTCAATAAATAATTAATTAATGCATATGTGGCTATGTACGTACGCGATAATAAAAATTTAGTAATCGAGTTTTTCAATTAAATACTTAAAATTCGATATAAATGTAATTTAATTATGCTTATTGCATAGATGTACATATGTAAGTGTAAAAGCAATGTCATTACATTTATTAAGTCAATACTTTTTATGTCATTTAGATTTTGTCAGCTTGTTAAAAATAATTCCTTAACCTTTCCTTAACCTTATTCAAGTTTTATGATACTCTCATATTACTATTATGCAAGCCCCCATAATAATCCTTTCAAATGCATATCCTATTATTACAGATTGCGTAATAGTAACTTAAATCATATCCTGTTATCTTAAAATAAAAATTCCGTGATTAATAAATTATAAGTTTTATTCCTGCTGTACTCGATATAAGAGAGTAGAGTTTCCACAAAGCCTTTCTATCGAACTCTGTTCATGTCTTTCTATTTGCTACTACTAATTCATTTGCGACTGATCTCCTCCATGTTAACTGGGGTTTTCCCAACCCCTTGCTACGCCCTGCGCACATTCCGTCCTATCGCATGTGATACTATTGTGGTCGGTTCCTTTCAGACTATATACTCGATCCACTTCCATTTTCTTCTTTTAACGATGAATTCTACTCGTTCCTAGCCCGTAATTACCCAGATGATTTCAAATGCATGTTTAATTTTATTCGGCAAGAATATAAGCAAAACGTAAAGAACGTCATACAAAATTTGGTTATGATATGGTGTGTACCGACATATGCATAAGCGCTCTAAATTGGACATAAAACAAAATTTATATCTTTTTACCTACACTGTTGTTCCCTTACATATACGTCGAAAATTTATTGTGTAAGCAATTCGAATTGAATGAACAATTTTCAATATTTTACGTTCCGTTCCACAATTACTTCCCAATATGCCTGCTTTAATATCTTAACCATACTTTAACTCGGTTTTCTTTTAATAAAGTATAAAATGAGTATATAATAAATAAAAAATTAGACACACACTTTCTGTATGTAGATTGTAGATCACAGTTATAGAAAAATAACAGATTAACAAACATTTTGTATTCAAAATTTGTAAGAATTTTCTATAAACAATTTTCTTTCAACAGCGAAATTTTCGGTTCCTTCTTCAAAAACAAAAAAGAATTTTTAAATCACAAAAAAAAAAAATTTAGAGTACTCAAAAAATAAATTATGTGAATCAAAATTTGCGTGTAATTTTGTTTTTTCAACATAATCATACCTTAGAAAAGCATAATTTTTTTGTAATAACATTTTCCATTTCTATGGAAATATTTTTAAATCGAAATGACACTGTGAAAAAATACGTTTTAACAAACTACAATTACCTAAGAATCACAAAATAACTTATTCAATCTGTCAAATTAACACTCTAAGAACAAATTTTGTTTCAACTTTTCCTCGCAAAACAGTTCAATTTTGCAATTAGAAGTTTTGCAATTAGAAATCAACTTTTAGTTCTTTAAATAACTTCGGAAATACTTTTCATATGACCGCTATGGAAACATGAAAGATATTATCGTATTGGCTATGAAAAACAGAATATTCCATTCGCCTTGGCCTCATACGATCTGTAGTCATACATATGTACATATGTTCGAAGTAAAAAAAAATTAGCTCAATTTGCAAACATAATGAATATTGATAATAATAAAAAAATCTGATTTGGTTAGCACATAACCGACTGTACACATTGTCTAGTTAAGAGTAAATGTTTGAAAACATTATAGAAATGCCTTTTAAACACTTTTTTCCAATTTTTAGGACGTTAATAAGCTTCTAGTTAACATATACCTAGAAAAATGTAAATTTGGCTGTTACTAGAGTTTCACTTTGTGCCATCCGCCAGTTAATTTCGGTAACGACCATAGCTCAAATATCAAGTTTCAAGAAATTCCACCACTTAGCTCCGTAGATCTGGTAAAAAATGTAAAATCGGCTCCCAATTTGATTTCCGAGCCCCAATCTTTCTAAAAAATTTACAGATTCTTTGTTTTAACACTCCAAATTTAAACGTCAAATTTCAACAAAATTGGTTGATTATTTCTCTTTATATACGCAAAAATGTAGAATTGACCCGCAAAAACATCCAGTTCCCAAAGTCTGAAAAGTTGATCAATCCGTAACATTCCCAAAACAAACTCACATATAAAATTTCATCAAAATCGGTTCAGCCGAACTTGAGATACACGCGTGCACACACCGACAAACAGACAGACCGGCACCTCTCTAAAAACAGCTTATTTACACTTCCCTACTATGGAGAAGTACGTTCCCACCCAAAACTCGATATGTAAAATTTGTTGCCATCACATAACCTCCCATATTGTATGCAATTGCGGTCGATAAAAAAGTTTATAATTTTACAAATTAAAAACATTTCTAATTAGAGTGAGCTCCTACTGTACTTATTTAAAATTGTAAATATGAGAAATTGTACAACTATAAAGAGCTAGAACTCTATAGAAATTCATTACTTGGATTGCTTGTTTGAAATTCCATATTTAAATGAATTTCAGCTTCTTCAACTAAAAAAAAAATTATTTCCTTATTTTAAAATATTTTTTTTTTTCAGTGAAAGCACTCACAATATTTTCAATTCGTGTACCCTGGTACATATTTGTATACTTGAATGATTTAAGGGTAACGTGTAATAAGAGAGAGATTCTGATTCGAATTAATTTTTTCTTATAATATGCTGAAACTACTGAAACGTATTATTCAAATAAATTTTTAAATTTTAGAGTATTCTCATGAGAGTTTTTTTGATAATTTCAAATAATAAATTCAAAAGATTTTTAAGTAAAATTTAGAACTTATGCATGTAGAGGCAAATATAGTGAAAAATTTTCAATAATTTCTTAAATTTTAAATTTGCATAATTTTACAATCAAGCAAATTTCTTTAACGGTGAACACACATTTATAATATAAATTTTAAATTACATACTAATTCCACTATTTAAAAAATAATATAATTAGTATAAGAACTTACTTTCTAATTCATAATATTCTTCATCATATTTTCCATTATTTAAATATTTCCTAGCCATTCGTCTAGCACACTGATCTTCATCTAAACGTAAGATAGATTTTAAAAATTCCATCATTTCTTCTTCATTTTCATGCCACATAGTAGCACATACTATTAGCTGTGGAATACTATCACTTAATTTTATTTCAGAATCTCGTCTTTTACTAGATTTTGTATTTTCTGGACTAACAAAAGTAACAGAATCCTTAAATAATTATATGAAAAAGAGGTTTTCAATACCTTCAATAATATTATTACAAATTTTATATTACCATATATTCAACAAATTTTTCTTGATCTAAAACTCTTCGATTCATTGAAATACATTGATCAATAAGAAAACTACAATACCATGGACAAATAAATAATTTTTCTGTAGATGCATTTCGATCATTCTTCGGTTTCCAAACTTTTAAAAATAAAATTATTTCACTTTACTACAAAATTATGATCAGTTTTATTAATAGCACTTACTGTGTCTTGTTATCCATAATTGTGATATCCACCATATTACCCACACATAAATATATTCGTCCAATATATAATTCCAAACATTATAAATAGGAATTCCTCTAAATGCCAAGTAATCTGGAAAGTAATTATGAAAAACACATACATCCATTTCACGTATCCCAGATAATGATAATAGAAGACCCAATGAAAATGGTCCAGCTAATGTCAATGGTAACGCAAAACTAAATTCTTGTATTTTAATTTTACATGCAAATTTCGCCGTTATATAACATAAATATGATGTAAAAATATGAATTATGAAAATCCAGATGTGCGCCATTGGTTCAGACTTAATTTTTTCGAACTCAGAATCAGTTGTATTTTGATCCGTAAACAATGGAATTTTCTGTAAAAAATACAAAATAAATCACTTCAGTAACCGTTTATGAAAATGTACGATTATTTTATGCTACATAGTAAAGTAAAAATAATGGAATTATTAGAAAAGAGAATTTGGGGGAAATGAAACTATTCATATTACCCAAATCAGATGAAATAAATGTAAAATGTGCTGTACTACCCAATTAAAAATGATAAATACGAACATTGGTATTTGTTGCTATATAAAAAAATAAAAATGCAAAGGTGATATTGGTCTTCTATTTTTAGCAGCGGTAAGGAAACAGCTCCTTCTTAAAATAAATCGTTATAATTGATAAGCCATGAACCCAAGAAGATACATTCCAAGAATTGTAAGACGGTACATAAAAATAATACATACTCTTCCATACACGAAAAATTTCTAACTTTATATTCGATCTTTTTTTAACCTTTGAATTTATAATAACAATTGTTCCTTTATATGCGAAAAATGCTAACATAAAAGTTTCTTGTTTCGCCCTATTAAAGCTATGATAGCTTTGCAATCTTACATGTATATATTGAATAATTAAATACTCACATTTTTTATAATAATATCGTGTTGATACCATCCCGATAAAAAATATTCAAAATATGATTTAAAATTTTGACCATCAAGTAAAAGTGATGCAATAGCAAAGAATATAATTTTAAATGGTGCCACAAAAAGATAAATATAAGGCCTGCATTCAATTAATTGTTGTCTTATTTCAACTAAGTACCTTAAAAATGCTAAAAATAATATATATAACAGTTATTTTACAAAATATTTACAATATATTTAATAAATTTACAACTAGATGGTAATCCAGCACAATAATTTTCCCACCATCGAAAAGATATTAATATTAAAGCTGGAATTAATAACCAAAGTTGAGGTTGACCACCCAAAAACGGCCATACTAAAAATCCTGTAACTTGAGCACATAATGCAATAGCACCAAGAATAAAAAACAATAACGATTTGCAATTTAATCCAATTCCAGAAAATAAACCTATAAATTATAAATTCTTATACATATGAAAATTTTCGTAAAATTTTTGTTAATATAACAATATAATAATATGACAACATTACAAGAACAGATTAAGTAAAAAGTTCAATAAAAATTGTAATAAGAAAAAATAGCAGGTGTACTAAAAATTTTAATAATTTTTTATCAAAAAAAAATTTGTTTTTAATATTAACATCGCATTTATTATTTCAAATAATTACAAACCTATTATTGCTGGAACTAAACATACACAATTAGCTAACATAAGACCTCTTGCAGAATCTAATAATGGTAAAACTGAAAATGTTAACATAGCTAATCCAAATGTATGCAATGTTTCCATTCCACCAATCTGTAGATAAAAAGTAAGAGATCAAACAATAATAGATTACTAAAAAAAAAACAAAAGAAATACTTATTTTAAGTAAAATACTTACCAATACCATTTCATTTACAGTTGGAAATCTTACATTTTTAAAGAAGCATACTCTTGCTACTCTTAAAAATGTAAAAATTTCAGGTACAGCAAATGAAAATATTAGAGTCCATACCCAAGATATTCTTTGTTTTTCTGGTATAAATGCATATTTTTCTGTATCAGGATCTATTACGCAAAAAAAAAATTTAATTCATTCAATAAATTTAATAATGAAACCATCAAATATATTTCAATTCTTAGAAAATTTCTTCGATCCATTTACCAGTAAAATTAATTCATTCATAAAATTCATTTATTCTTTTATTTAATTTATAATATTAAAATTTTAATAAAATAACTTTAAAAATACCACAAAATTAAAACATAGCAATTCTTCACATTTTTATTTATTTATGAAAATTTAGTAAAATATTAATGACGCTAGAAATTATTTAAAAATTTCATTCAACATCATGATTAGATTGAATGTACGTTATAGATGCCTTTGAAGACAAAATTTTTTAAAATAAATTCAAAACCATTTCGATAAATACATATGTGCGTGTACAATTTTCAAACTCATATCTAGCTAATATCTAGCGAAATAATAGTATCCACATACATATCTTGCACCTATTTCATCTGGTAAAGTTATTAATAAAATAATTATAATTTCGTATACTTAACAAAATCGCTAATAAAGTTAATAATATTATGACAAGCTGAATATGATGAATGCGTTATTTATCATAAATTTTTCTTACTATCAATATTTTATTTTCACATATTTTTCTTTATTTAAAGCACTTCTAATACAAATTATAATCAAATCTCTCTAATTGAAATTGAAAACAATTTGTAATTCAAAAATTCTATTAAATTCTTATTATGAGTAACATGTTAATTTTTTTATTTTCTTATAAATATTTAGTGTATAACAACTATGGTGTTCTTTTGCTTATTTTATTCTTTAATTTATTTTTAAATTGATATTATAGGTGCATGTATTTAATTTAATTCTAGTAAATTTCTAATAACATAGTCTACCTCTAATTAAAAATTTGGTCTACTTTTATAATTGCTACTTTCATTACTCTAACATTCTATCCTCCTCTACCCTTCATTCTTCCTAATTTCAGATTTTAAATTAATTGGTATTGAAACTTTAAAACGTGTTAAAAAAATTTTGGTTTTACTTTAAAAATATTTTCGCTATAAGTCCACGCACTTATTTTATTTGTTTTTGCATTATTTTATCTTATAAGTAAAATGCAATATAATGTTAACCGGAAATAAATATTAATAAATTTTATCGTCTTTGATAAATTTTTTTTTATCAATAAAAGAATTTTATAAAAAAAAATTTCAAAATATTAAAAAAAAATTTTATATTTACGTCTTATATCACAATATCTTGCATTATGTCCAAGTTGAAGCTGTGATGTCATCAATATATAAGTGTTTTTGGATACTATACTAGAAACTAATATAATACTAAAAACAGTAATATATGTTATAATTTTTAAAAATTTCAAGAAAGCTCCAAATTTATTCCAATTTGCTAAAGAACCAGATGTTACTTCTGGTGGTGGATCTTCAAAAGAATCCCATAATGGTTGCGATTTCCTTTGTGACGTTGTATTTCTTTATAATATTCAATTTAATTAAAATTTAATATAGGTTTGCTAACACAATTCTTAATTAATATACATTTTTTTTTATATTTTAATGCAATATCTTAAATACCTTTTTCTTAGTATAATTTCTTCATCATAAGGATCATCGTCATTTATATCGAAATTCATATTTTTACACTAAAAATTATTTTTTTTTGAAAAATTTTTAAAATCTTGAGATAAATAACTATTTTACTTGCAGACCAATACAAAGCGACTAAATATAGATATTAAAAAAGAAATTACTTTATCATAAATGAAATCTAAGTTTATCGATATCTTTCATCTACAACACAATATCGGTTAGATATCAATTTATATCAAACGTAAGTAGATATAACTCAAAAGAAAGGAACAAAAAAAAATTTTTTTTAGATTGTGAAAAATAGTTTTGAAGAACTTTCATACTGAGGAAAAATGAAAAATGTATTTTCAGAAAACAGAGAATACTCAGTTCAGTTTGTAATAGGACGCCAATAAGTGCATTTCGTTCTCATTTTTTCTCTTATGATTCTCTGAAAAAACAAATATCTTCAAATTAAATTTAATTTTAACTTTTCATACAACCTGTTTGATGATATTTTTATACTTATTTTGTTTTATATATAAATCATGTTAGAAAATTTTAATTTTAATACGATATCAATCACTAAAATTCAAAATGAGGAAACCAAATTAATTGTAAACTAACTTCTTTGTTCCCAGTTGACCCCTAAATCTACAGATTTCAACGATAAGAATTAAGGAAGAGAAAGAATGTATTAAACAAATAACAAAAGAAATTCAATTTTGGAAAGTTTTTCATAATAATTATATACGCTATAAAAACTTATATCCAAGCACGGCCAAATATTGGAACTTATAAGCATATCCATTCGCTTAAGCTCTTCATTTTGATGTTCATTAATGTTATTGTCATAATACTCATAAAACGAAAATCAATATGATTTCTTACAAATTCAATATAAAAATTCTTCACTCTTTATACAAATATAGGTAAGCTTGTAGACTTATTCCCAAATGCTCATGCACTAATTCCTAAACTGCCACAATATCTGCGCCTTTAGGTGCTCCATAGAAAATCTAAAATGTTATAGCAATCTTTTATTGCATCATTTAACAAAGTTTTTAATTAAACTAAAAATTTGTTTCAATAATCAAATTAAAAATTAATATGAATCATTTTCATTTTATTTAATTTATTTATTAAGGGAAACAGATTCATATAATAACATATTAAGATATTAATATTATGTATATGAAAATTAAAATGCCAATGTAAAACCTGGCCTTTAATACTCTTTTCTATAAATTTTCTTCTAATTTGTATTGCATTATAGTTAATTATGTTTAGTCTCCCTTATTTCCTTCTAATTTCTGTCTTAAAGATTCTGGCATTTCTGCTGGAGGAGGACGAGGAATGCCTAGCATTACTTTTACACCATCATAAATGAACCATTGAAGGGCAGTTAATGTACCGATCATAATTACACGAGGTCCAAGACCTTTCCACATTCCAGCAAAACCTAATGTTTTTGCAATTTGACCTATTGTTGCTCCTTTGCTTTGATTTAATTTAGAAACCATAACATCAGCAGGATGTGATACTATAGCACAGAAAACACCAGCAATGTAACCAGCAGCAAATGTAACTACTAATTGTTCACCCTTAGAACATTCAGATCTTGGTTTTGGAACCACACTCCTTTAAAAGAAAATAAAAAATACATAATTATACATATTCAAATTTTAACTATAATAACATACTTATAAAGCAATTCAACTGTTCTTTCGAAACATGCGAATTTCATCATTGTGTATGGGATTTGACGACTCCAAAGTGGTGTAATACCTTTGTAGAAGGCGGTCATTCCTTCTTCGGCTAACATTTTTGGATATGCTTGTCGCATTGTGTTTGCGTAACCTGGAGATGTTTGTATTTTTACTTTAATAGCTTCAAACGGACATAATGCAATGTCAGCGAAGAACTCTGCCGATGCAGAAGAAGCTAAAAACAAGGTTGTCCTGTAAATATAAGCGTTTTCTTCACCAACAACTCCAGAGTAGAAAATTTTGAACCACTCATAAAACCCAAATTTGCAAAGACCCTAAAAAATTTTTTTAATTTTAACATAATGAAAGTGGTTGTTATTCCTATAGACGAAGTTTATGTAAATATTCAAATTCCATAAAGCACAAATTTATTTGACTATTAATAATTGCCTTATTAAAATTCTGATTGAAGAGTAAACCAATCAATTACATAATTCAGGTAACTTACTTGAGCTGAATATCCAATCAATGTTGGTGCCCAACCCTTTGTCAGACCAACCGCACCTTCTTCGGCTACTGTGACTTTAATACCGTTAAATAAATTTTTATATTTTGCAGAGTCAACTTGTAATCGGCATTTTACTAAATCTAAAGGTGTCACTAAGGTATGTGTTGATCCACAGGATAAAATTCCTCCAATACTACATAACACAAAGTATTTAGTGCTCCCAAACTCACATGAATCAGCTGCTGCTATTTCACGTCCATGTACTGGTTCACAATTAGCATGTGTGAAGGGCGATATGAATCGCCCATTTTTAGCTGCTTCAAACATTGATGAAAACATTTTTCTGAAATAAAAAAAATACTTTATACCCTATGACCAGAAAAAAAAGCTTATATGTATGCACATAATAAACGAACAAACTTCATATCAAGTTCGTTGGAAAAAAAATTATGTAATAACTTTTCATGTAAAATCAATTCACTAGATACTCAAATAAAAAATTTTCAACGTGTTTGATGTTTCGTCTAATTTCTTTAATAAATTAAAAAACTTTTTTGTATTTTCTATTTTTACATAATATGCTTACGAATATGTTTCTTTTATTTAATTAATATTTAAAGAAAATTTCTGATTACATCGATTACAATTAAAAACGAAACTGTGTATTGAGAAACTTTTTGTCAGAAGATGACATATAATTCTTAGCAAAATTAATCCCGAAATAAAGAATTATAAATGTATAAAACAAGTTAAATAAAAATATTTAATAAAATTTAGGATATCTTACCTTTGAGTTGGGACACGACCAGGTGAAATAAGGAAATAGCTCTTTCTTATAGAATTATTCAATGACAGCAAAAAGCACTAATCGATATAAATATGACATTTCCAGTTGAAGACCTTGATTTTCATACGAAATGGACTACATACACACGTTACTTATTAAAGCCCGTCTTATTGTTGTTGTTTAAATGTCAGTAACTACACGCCGGCAATTAAATTATATTAAAAAATTTGTAAAATAAAAAACAGATGGCACTATAAAATTCTAAATTCTTACACATGGTCGGATATTCACAATATAACCGCTGCTGATAAACCTTCATTTTGAATATTATAAATTTTGTTTGTGTCGAAATATTAATTAACGTACATATTTCTTTTCATTTTATCAGGTTGTCAATTAAAAGTAAAAGTATTTGAAGTAAATTAAAAAGATTTTGTTCAGAGAAATTAAAATTATATAACTGTTCAAAATCAAATTAAATTGCCAGTTGTGTATGAAATCAATGAGTGAAATTATTTTAATCAATCAATCTATGCGCGCGCTATCTGGTTTTTGGGGTCGGAAATAAAACAAAGAAAAGAATAAAGAAAATAATTGATTTTAAGTTTAACATATTTGTGGGATTAATCTACATAATCGCATGTATCTACATACCCACAAAAAATTTTTTGAAGGCATCCTAGTATAGTAATAAGAAAATTTACGATTTAAAATATAATACACACATACCGAAAATTTTAATTTCAAGGCAATTTATACTACTGCTATGTAAATAGAAATTTTAAAGCTGTTCAGAGTTCGAACTCTTTTCTGAACTCATGTATATTTCAAGTTTAATTTGTTACTTGTATTTAATTAAAACAAATAAATTAAAGCACAAAAATCAATAAATGTAATCCGTTCTTGCTTTAATACGCAGAAGATGTACACAAACTTAGTATATGTATTTAAAATTGGAAATTTTCACCTTAGAATGAACTAGTTAGAATGTTCCTTAGATTAAACTCCTTATAAAGAAAATTTAATGTTAGTTCACTAAAAGTATAATCTTTTTAATTCTATTATTTAAGATTTATTTTTCATAAATATGTACAACTAGGGAAACTCCGAAATTTCCCAGAATTATTACATAAGCTAAAGGAATTATACAAATATATAACACAATAATATTAACATTAATTATTTAGTATATTGATAATACTTAAACTGAAATAAACATTTAAAACAAAAAATAGAATCGCAGTTATTTTATCTTAATTTCAGATTAAGTAATTTAATTTAAAGGAGCAATACCCAATTAAAAGTTGATTTACATACAGTTAACCTTCTGTGATTTCATTTCCCCATTCCTTTGCCATAATTAATATGACATTCCTTTTTAATTTCGGACCAATTAATGGGTTCATTTGGGCCATATAACAGCAAAGCCAGCTACAAAAAATACTTCATTAAATTTGTATTTGAACCATTTATATTGTTAAAACTTACAAAAGCCAACATGTTGCTCCTGTTAACATTAGAATACATTGAATAATTCTGAAATATGGTTTGAACTAATTAGTTGTGATTCAAACATCATTAATAATATATGTATATTATGTTCACATATCTGAAGGATGCTAAAAGAAATTATAAATCAGCTTACCCACGATTTGGACCTTTTGGTACAAAGAATGGCAGACCAATTCCAACAATTCCCCACAAAACAGTGAAAATAATTAGAGGCAGATACGATGCAGCCATTTTTATCGAATACTTTTCAAAGATAAATAAGGGACTACAAAATTTTCCAAAAAATTTAGAAATTTTTGTGTGACTTATCACATGATATGATACAGAAAACTAAAAAATGTCAATCTACAGTATTATCTTCATATGACGTCTATTACCGAATATTAACATAAGTTATAGACGACGAGGTAAACGCAAATGCATACGAAATGTTATATTTATGGAAAATGAGCAAAACCTTTTAAACTGAAGCTGGGACAAATTATAAAAAAAAAGTTTTTCGTTTTTTGGCGCATAAATAAATACTGTTTAAATTATCATACAGTAAGAGAATTACCTATGTGAAAAACACAAATTTATTGCCTAGAACTTGTTACTTCAGTAGAAATTGTAACAGTTGAAAATTCATTCAAATCATAAAGATTCGCTAATTGAAAAATTTCTGCTTCAATGATGCTGTTGCTTAATTTCCGAGAAGAAACCAAGATTTATGTTTTACAACACAATGATTATAGGTTATAAGACGAGAATCCCAATAATTCCGATGTAGTGATTCCAAAATTTTTTGCATTTATCCCAAACAACGAATTTATTATGCTCTTCTGCAGAGTATGCAACATTTCTACGTTGTTGATCGATTTGCTCTTAATCTTTTGACTACCTTAACCCAGCATTTACACATACAAGTTACTTGCATGCAAGTTTGTATAATATTAATTGTCAATTAGTTTTTCGAAATGTCAAATTACTTGCTATTATGACGTAGGCGTTTAGCAAGTTAATTTTTGAAAATGTCTTTGAGAAGAAAACAACTAGCAATATATATAATTGTTTATAAATTTTAGAAACCATAAGTTTGCTAAGTTTAATTTTTTCAAAACAAAATTCAAAAATTTTAAATTAAAAAAAAAAAAAATCAAAACAACAAATTTTTTTTTGTGAATTTCTCAATATGTCAAATTACTTGCTCAAATTACTGGCAGCAAAATTTTCTTGCAAGTTGAACTGCAAGTAAACAAGCAAGTAGAAATATTTCAATGTGTTAGTAAAATTTTTGTATGTATTGCAACTTTCTTGCAAGTAACTTGTACGTGTAAATGCTGGGTAAGAATTTCATTAAAGTTGACTGTATCTGCGATTAATTCACAATTGCGTAAAATACGCATACGAAAATCAGATGTCAACAATTTATGACGTTTAATTTCGAAAATTATTTTATTACCTCAGTTCAGAAATTTCGAACCCTTTATTAAAATTCTAAATCGAGAAGTCGGCGTCTATAGAAATAAACTGCGTGTTTTTTCAATAATATAAAAAATTTAATTTCTTAATAATGTCTAGCAGAAATGAGTGTCGAATTTATGTAGGAAATCTTCCTCCTGACATAAGAACAAAGGATATTCAAGATTTATTCCACAAGTTTGGAAAAGTAACTTTTGTAGATTTGAAAAATCGAAGAGGTCCGCCATTTGCCTTTGTTGAATTTGAAGATGCAAGGTAAATTTTGTTTAATCAATATTTATTTATATGGTAAAAGTAAAATTTAATTAATAGAGATGCAGAAGATGCTGTCAAAGCAAGAGATGGTTATGACTATGATGGTTATAGATTGCGCGTAGAATTCCCTAGGGGAGGCGGTCCTGGAAGTTACCGAGGTGGTAGAAATGATCGTAGCCGAGGTGGAGGTACATATTTATTTATTTTTTTTAGTACATGCATATATTAAAGTTCTCAATTTTTAATTTGCAGGAAGAGGTCGAGGTCCACCTACGAAACGGTCGCAATACCGTGTCATTGTATCTGGTTTACCTCCATCTGGTTCTTGGCAAGATTTAAAAGATCACATGCGTGAAGCAGGAGATGTCTGCTTTGCAGATTCATATAAAGACGGCACTGGTGTTGTAGAATTTCTTCGTCATGAAGATATGAAATATGCAATAAAAAAGTTGGATGATTCAAGATTCCGATCTCATGAAGTATATTGAATTTCAATTCTTCAAATTAAATTTTTATTAATTGTATTATTAATTAAGGGTGAGGTAGCCTACATAAGAGTACGAGAAGATAATGGAGATGATAAAGGAAGAGACTTCCGTGATCGGTAAATGTTTTTCTTGATTTCCCGTCAGTCTCAAATTTTTAAAAGGATTTAATTTTAATCGTATGTTTCAGGTCTCGATCCAGATCATATTCTCCTAGACGCAGACGGGGTTCACCAACTTATACTCCTGTTCGCAGAACCTCGTTTTCAAGATCTCGTTCGGATTCAAGGTCAAACTACTAAAAGTTTTATATTTACAACATCTTTTTTTAATAATAGATTTAGAAAGTACTAAAGAATGTGTGTATTTCTTGCTTAAATATGAAGCATTAATCAAAACAAAAAGAAAAAAATTTAACAAATTCATACGTTGTAGGACTTTTTTTTTTTTGTTTTTCAAGGAAGTAGGTTTAACACTTAACATTAAATTTAATTGAAACAAAACAAAATAAAGAAAATATTAATTTACAAAATTAAAACAACATTCCTTGATAATAATAACTTATATATCAAAAAACAAAAAATTTTGAAAATACTTTAAAACATTTTATCTCATATGCAAACACAAAAAATGAGTAGGTAATTATTTTAATTTTAGACAGCATTCCGACATTCGGGATAAATCTTTTTTATTTCTTTGAATATGGAAATTCATATTTTTTTTTCTATTTTCAAGGCAACCAGAATAAAATTTACATAGTAAAGTAATTGGAAAATCAGTACCTACTCACATAAATTATTTTACATTTTATGTTTTAACAAAAACGAGAGTGGTGAATTTTCCGTAAAATAAATTTGCCTTGAAAAATTATTAAATTTTTAAACAGTAATTAAAATAAAATTTATGTTTTGCAAACATCGAAAATTTTAACATTAATTATAAAAATACTATGCTGTAATAATGTAAATAAGTTTTAATTTTTTTTTTTTGAATACGCTTTTAAAGATTGTTTCAAATTTAATTTTTTTTTTTATTTTGCAAATGTAATGTGAAAAAAGAAGTATTTTGAAGTCTAACAAATAAAATAGAAAATCAAGTTTCACTACATAATTTTGAGGAAAATATATTTTGAAACTAATATAAAAGATAAATTAAAATAAATTTCACATAATTCATAAAAAACAAATAATTATTAATTAAAATTTTACTTATAAATAAATTAATGTATTTTTTTTTTCTCTTTGCAATCTTTTTGTAATAAATGCATATTGGATGGATTATAAGAGTGATGTATAAAATGGAAGCAGGGATTTAAATCTTTGGACATATATATGTATATATATTAATTAATATATATATATATATACATAATATATAAATAAAAATATGGATTGGAATTTATTGTTTGCGTTATGGATAGGATTATAGGATTGTGATTTTAAAAGAATCGATTTGGAGAAAAATTAGTAAAAAGGAAGGACTGGAAGGATTAGGAGTTAGGATTAAAAAAAAATTAATAGGATACTTAATTATAATAAACGTTTTCCACTTTTTTTTTATATGTAAAATAATATTGTATTTACAAATTGTTTTTATATAATTAAAATTATACCTTTTTTTTTTATTGTTTTTTTTTTTATGTGAAAATAATTTGTAATACAAGCGGAAAATTTTTACAAATAAAAAAAAAGTGATAACATGTAAACTACTGGGTACGACGTGGGATAGGAATCTTATAAAAAAAATTGAAAATTGAAAATTGTAAAAGGATATCAACGTGGGATAGGATAATCTATATAATATATATTTCATATCTTTAGAATTGTATGCAAATTTAGGAATTGTATCAGAAACATTGTTCATTGTAAAGGAAATATCTTACCTCCGCTGGATATGATCGGTGGTACACCCTCTTCACATTATAAACATTAATTCTTTTCTTGGCTTGGAAATGGTAATTTTTTATTATAAATAAAAATTATTACATTTTAATAATACATATTTTTTTTTTGCATTTAAATCAATTAATATAAATATTTTTAATATGTGACTTATGTATATGTTAAAAATATTTGACTAAGTAATTTCACATATTCCATTAAAACAAAAAAGGAAAATCCAAATAAAATAAAATTAAATTTTTTTTTTGAGTAAAAGGAATTTCTGTAAAAGTCAAATATATCTTATATCGATATATTGTACTCTTTTTAACAAATAAATATTTGTTTGTCCTACATTATAGTTTCTACGATAAATGGGTTCAATAAGCGTAATATTGAATTTGTAAGTAATAATGTACAAGTAATTTCGACATTTTTATTTGATTTTTTTTTAAGAAAAAATAAAAAAAAATAAAATATCAACAATAGAAAAATCCCAATTTAATTTTCCTTGTATACAAAAAGAAAAATTAAAAAAAAAAAAAAATAAATAAAAATTGCATTTAATTCATATCCTACTTACTTACAATCTTACAACTTCTTTTTACTTATATAATTGTGTGTGAAATAAAAATTGAAATTGTATTTCTTGTATCCTATCATGATATTTTTTTTCTTTTTTTTAGATGCTTTTAAAAAATGATAGTATTTTTTTTAGTAATTTTCATGTAGAAATTATCTCCTATTCAATAAAAGAAAGAAATCGATATAAAATGAAATTGTGTTTTTATTTAATAATTTTTCCAATAAATTTTTGCCCTTTACCCCTTTTTTTTTTTTAATTACAAAATTGAAAATTGACTTGCATGTGAATGTATGTATATGTAATGTAAAGCATAATGGGTCTTCTTCGTTGATTGCAAGTGCAAGAGGTTGTTTATCGATAATTTCCTCCACGAGTAAAATTTTATTTAATGACAACAAAATAAATGTTATTCAGAGTTAAAAAATAATTTAAATTTTTTGTTGTGTCATTTATTGAATATCAATTTTTGAATTAAAAAATAAATTAAATATTTCTGAATATTATGTACAAAATATAAAGCATATGACTTCAATGTTTCACAATTTTACAATTTTACAAATACATCAATTAGTGATCTCCCTTGTTTGAAGCAGTTATTCTTTTATTATTTAAATTTTATGAACAATATTCCAAGGACAATTCTTTTAAAAAAAATTCTATTCTCATTGGGTTATCTCAGTTTAGGCAATGACAAAAATCCAAAAACCAATTTACAGATTATTTTTTAAATTTTAAGGAATATTCACTCTTAAAAAAACGTCTCATACGTACTATTAGAATTTTAATTTTTATGCTACCTTTTGTAAAATTTTTAGTAAGTTTCTAAATATAAATTTAGTTTTGAAAAGGAAACGTAACTACTAAGTTAAGAATAAAACAACAAATTTGAAATTTTTATAAATATTTTTTTGTTTTATTTTCGATTTGTTTCCCAAGTAATTTACATTACTTTTATAAACTATTTTCAATAATTTGTTGATGTAAAATAAAAAATAAAATAAAAATTATACAGTATGTATATAAAAGAAATATTTTATGATGACAAAAAAAAAAATCAAAGAAAACTAATAAAAATTAACAAAAACATTCAGAGTTTTCGATTTGTCTTTTGGGGAAAATTCGAAAAAAATATTTTAAATACATATACATGAATTTTTATTATATTGTTTAATTAATAAATGCGTTTTTACTTGGTTTGCATCTTTGTAAATTTTAATTATTTCCTTTTTTTTTTTTTGGATTCTCATACGAAACTTAGTTTATCTTAAGCAATTTTTAAAAATTAGGAGTACCCTATTTCAATAAAATGACAAGAAATTTTGCAAAATTTGCCAATATGAATACGAAAGAGCAAACATTACATGATGAACACTACAATTATATGGATATTTTAATTTTGAGATTTGAAAAACATTATTATAAAGTATTTAGACAAATTTTTAAACTTAATACGATTTTTTAAAAAAGCTAGGTAGTAATTAAATTATAAATCTTTATTACTAAAGGTGAATTGTAAAAATAAAAAAAAAGCAATATCCAAAATTTAGAATTGAAACTAAAAATAAAAACGTAGCATTTCTTATTCATGATTTTGTATAACAGCACCATTACCTTTAAAAATGAAACAAGCTTTCAAAATGTTTTGCATTTTCTTATTTTTTTATGTACTTATATTAAACAACACATTTTGTTTATTAATAATCTAAATTTTGGAATCATGAGGCTATTTGTTTAAGAAATTTTTTTATAAACAATTACGTTTCCTATTTTACTTTTTTTATTTTTTGTGTCTCTTTTTGTGAGAGGAAATAGTAGTATGTTGTTACTCTTCTTTTAAATCATATACATATGCGCACAAGTCACATCTTTAAATAAAAGTTATAACGCAAAATTTATAGAACAAAAAGTTAAAATACAAACATAAAAATGTAAATAAAACGTTTCATCAACATAACAATCAAATAACTGTAATGTTTGGTGGTGAAGCATCTTCTTTTATAGTATTATTCACATCATTATTTTGATTAATTTTGCAACTTTGATCTGTTGGATGCGACTGTGCTGCTAGTTGTCAATTGGTTTCTATTTTTGATGTGTACCTTGGTTTATTATGAGTGAATGGTAAATATTTATATTTAATCATATGCTAAAAGAATTATAAAAATAAATAAATATTATGTACAATTAATAAAACAATTAAGTAAACAGATGATGTTATTACCTTAATTTGACGTTTCATTGTTATACAAAATAATGTTATAAAGTACATAACCAATATCGGCCAAAACACTGGAACGTTAAAAAAGTCGAAAAAAGTACAAATAATTGCAATCACCGTACTCTTGGTAATTGCATACCAAAATTTAAATTCTGGTAACCTTCTTATAAATGGTCTAAATTCTTCATTAGCTTTTGTTGGTAATTCAGGTCCATCGTCAGCTAAAAACAAAAAAAAAAAAGTAAGTTTAAATTAAATTTTTAATTTAAAATATTTTTTGATATTCAAACAATTAGAATCAATATTTTTTGGCGCGACAAAACCAATCGAAAATTTTACGTTAATGATCCAATTAAACTGGTTTATTTTTTCAAAAATAAAAAAGATTTGTAAAACTAATTTATTATAACTTCTAATTTATTATAGCTTAAATGTAAATTTTAAAATTGAAAATTATTTGTTATTACCACAATTGATTAAATTCTAAAAAAAATTTTTTTTTAGAGTCTAATTAATTTATGAAATAAATTTATACACAATATTTTGGTTTACAATATCTAATTTGAAGTATGACTATTGCAATTTTTTATGTTAATATTTTATCACTAATGATTCCGTCATCAATTATAAACATATCAATATGTATACATGCATACATTTACATACATACATATAAAATATATAAATCTTCTCTTACCATCAAAATCTAACGCTGGATCGATTTTTGGTGTTAAAAACGCTATGAAAAGATTAAGATGATATATTCCAAGTGCATAAGTAACAATATACCATCCTTGTTTAATAAAAATTCTTAAAAGAAATACTATTACAAGAATGAAAGCAGAAATCCACCGGATTCTGTTGTGTGGTGTACATTTATCCAATATGAGTTGATATCTCTGAAAACGAAAATCAAAAATCATGCATGTTCTAATTACACATAACTATACTTAATGTCAAAACTTTACCGATTCTTACCTGTGATATTTTAGTAAAATGTCTCCCTACGCCAACATCTATAGCACTTTTTTCCTCCTCCATTTTAATTACTGTTATTCCATTTAATAAATAATATTCTATAATTTAATTATTTTTTGGCAATTATCGTGAAAAACTATTTGCTACACGTATCAATATCCCATCTTTTTTACTTGATAAAAATGGCATATGTCATATTAAATATAACAAATGACAAAATAGACGCTCATGACTGGTGATGAATATAATGAAGCGTTGAACAAAACATAGCCCTGCAAAAAAAATAATTCGCAAATTCGCACTCCTAAATAAAAATCACATCCGATCATGTACAGTGTTTTCGGTATTTGAAAAGGACTATTTCTAATTCATTTCAAAATACTCTAAATGACAACAGTTAAATTTATATTTAGAGAGATAAATTTCTAGCACAAACATTTTAATTTTTTTTTTACTTTGGAACTTGATTTCCTTGTTTGGCGTTTTCTCAACTTTGGCGTTTGAAATTAATCGACTTCGATTAATTTGTTTTTGATTGTATTTAAGCAGAATTGAGTTGCACGCCGTAAAATTTAGCTTTTTCTTGCTTGTGGCCCTGTATACAATTAAATTTCATATTGACATAAAGCAATTTTACATAAAAGTAAATTTTTTTAAGATATTTAACTAACACCTCCCGTTACGAACTGCACGCATAAAACTTCGGCAGTTTGCGTAACGAAAATTCGACGTATGTGAAAAACTGAATTCGACCGCCACTCAGTTTATGGTTTTTAACAACTAAATAACTTCAATTTTGAAAATTTTTCAAAAAAAAATTATTAATAAACTTTATAGAAAAAAATGCGAACCGAAATTTTCCGCAATGTTAAATTTTGACAGAATTTTAATATACATAAATTTTTAAGATGATCTGGCAATTTTTTTTATCGGTATTTTGACTTATTGGAAATATTAATTGAAAGTAGGTTTTAAGTTAGATTGTCAAGCAAAAAACAAAATCTAAAATTGAAAAATAAATATAATTTTAAAGAAATAAGGTAAAATCATATTATTTTAAAACATACAAAATTCCATTACATACAATTTATTCCATACAAAATTTAATAGTTTTTTAAAATTAGTACAAAAGTACATATGTATACTTATAAATAAAGTTTTTGGGTAAATTCACATTTAGTAAAAGTGATTCATGTGGTTTAGTTAGGTGGGGTTCGAAATTGTTGTAAAATCAGATTTATATGATAAATATATCAGTGAAGTATAATCCTTATCTAATACATACCTATATGATTGTGCAAATAAAACCGAACTTTTGTTATTTAACTATTTTTATATATAAGAATTTAACATCAACTTTTCTAATATTATTTAAAAAAAAAAATTTCATTTTAGAATAAGGGAAATGGCAGCAACTCTTAAACCATATTTAACAGCTGTTAGACATACATTAACAGCAGCAATGTGCTTATGTGATTTTCCTTCCCAAGTGGTTGAACGTCATAACAAGCCAGAAGTTGAAGTACGAAGCTCAAAAGAATTGCTATTAAATCCAGTCGTCATATCAAGAAATGAAAAAGAACGTGTTTTGATTGAAACGAGTGTTAATTCATTAAGAATAAGTATTGCAGTAAAACAAGCAGATGAAATTGAAAAAATTTTATGCCACAAATTTACAAGATTTATGATGAGAAGAGCAGAAAATTTTATTATTTTAAGAAGAAAACCAATTGAAGGATATGATATAAGTTTCTTAATAACAAACTGCCATACAGAACAAATGTACAAGCATAAACTAGTTGATTTCGTTATACATTTTATGGAAGAAATTGATAAAGAAATTAGTGAAATGAAATTAGCAGTTAACGCTAGAGCACGTATTTGTTCTGAAGAATTTTTGAAACGATTTTAATAAATATTGATTAAAAATTTACTACATTAATATTAAAAAGTAAAATTACTTTATACAAAAAGTTCATATAAAAGTCTATAAATAATCCGTATAAAAAATAAATTCAGTTTCAAGAATTTTCGTAACCCATTACCATTTTTTTTTGTTAATTTTATTTTTTTCATTAACTAATTTTTAAAAATGTTTAGTGCTATTTCATGACTTGTAGGAATGTAAGAACGTCCTTTATTATTTGTTGGATGTTCAATGTATAAGTACAAGATTTTGTAACATAGATTTTGATAAATTCTAAATTTTTTATGCAATAATTTTTGTTTTGTATCTACTTTAATTAAAAAATAATGAGTTAAATAGCGATTAAGAGAAGTATTAATATATCATCTATCTTAATTTACAAATAAATTGTATCTTAAAAAACTATTTTTGTTTCAATATTATTTTCGATTTGATTAAATAGAAAAATAAAATAATAATTTCAGTTAATTTCAAAATTAACCTTTGAATACAAAATGCTCTTCCAGATTAGGTAGGTAAGTTATTTATGTTAGAAGACATTTCACTCATGAATCTAGTAAAACAAAAAATTTGTTAATCAATAAAATTTTTTTTTTTATTTCTACTTTTTAATACATATACCTAACATACTAGTTTTTGTGTTTTAGATTTTTATTTTATTTCTTACAATTTTTTTTTATTTAATTTCATTTATTTTTGTGTTATCTTATTTTTTCATATTTCCTTTCGCAAAAATATTTACTATACATATATTTTCATTTTTTTATATATAACTTAATTAACTTAAATTTTAACTTGAGATAACTTATAAATTTGACTCTTCATTTAAGAATATTAATCTGGGCGATAAATAGGTGTTTTAGGTATAAATTCGATTAATAAAACGTATTCCATCATCGAACTTGAATCACATTGTTGCTTATTTAATCGCCAATTTAAACCCAATTTATGATAAAGAAGACTATTTTCCCATTCAAGTAGTTTATCTAATGTAATTTGTGTCCTTTTACTAAGACATATTACTGGCCAAAGTGAACATCCTAAAGTACAACAGCAGCAAACACAGCCGCAAAACAACCATTTAACATTAACCGGAAGAGTTTTTTTCAAAATTCCATTTATTCGATTAATAGTTGCTTGAAATTCTTCAGGAGCAACTCGAGATACCAATCCAGATGGAAATTCAGTATTAAAACGATTGCTTAAACCAAATACGGTCATATTGCCAGCTCCTCGTATAATAATAGGCTCTGGTACTGTTACAATTGGAGCTTCTAAATCATCTTCAAATCGTTCTTCATATATTGCATCAAAATCAGCCATTTTTTCACGTTTTGTTTATGTATTATAAAGTTTAACCTATAGATATATATATAAAATAGATGTACAATTTTCGTAAAAAGTCAAAACAAAACTTATGAAATAAAAATATGAAATTACTTACAATAAATGTTTATTGTATCTTTGTGTCTCGTACTTTATTTTTAACTTTTCAATGTCACATTAGTGGTGTTATAATACTCTATTTTTCCAAAAAAAATTATTTTCTTTTCAACATTAAAATGAACTTCAAGGATTCAGATCAGATTATCTTATTAAAATTAACTGTATAACACCAACTTTAATAGCTAATAATTTTCCCTTTAATACTACTACTAGGCAAACAAAGAATGATGAAAAAGTGGTGTAACATATGACTTTTATTTTGCCTTTTAGTTTTTGTTTTCAAGTAATGTTTTTCATTTTCATCATTTATATTTTGTTTTGAATTTATTTTTTAAGATAATTTTTCAAAATTAATGTTTAAGATTTCTTTACTTTTATACTTAAAATTTAGACAAAAAAATATTTTAGTTGACATTACACAAAAAAGTTTGCTTGTAGTGTAAGTGAAGTCCAATAAAAATTTTGATATTTATTAAGAGTAAGGTATTGACTATAATAGATTTCGAATCCGGTTGCTGTGACGTTATGTACATTTAAACAGTTCATTAAGATTTATTAATTTAGTTACGTATAGCACATGCTGGATACTGGATAGCTTAATAAACAAGAAAGGAAAAGTACAAAAATAGATGTGAAGTATAAAATTTTCATTATAATACAGGATGGGTTTTTTGCTATGAGTGATAAGAAGTTTTGATAACAAAGGGTACATAAAAAGTTTAATTTTAAAAATGGATAACTAGTATATAAATTAAAATTCTATTGTGCGAATACCTTCATATAAATTATGCGTGTGACTAAATAACAGCGAACAAGCAGCTTTATTCTTTTATAATAAAATTGTACAGTTATTTAACATAAAGGGAACGAAACAAAAATTAAAAAATAAATGATTTAAATATTTTTAAATAATGAATCTCGAGGTCAGGTTTTTAATGAACTGAGTTATTTTTTGACAAATTGAAAGTAATATTGTAATTTTCTGAATTAAATCCATTTCCAAATTTCATATTGAAAAATCAAATTTTTTTTCAATAATATCCGATCCCTCAAGTGATGCGACTAACAAAATAAGGGTGAATGCGACTCTTTGTTAAAAAATTAAATAAAAAGTTTTAGTAAAAAAATAGACTCATAGGACAACTTATTATTTTTTCCTACAAAATTGAATTAAAATTTAATCGGAAAGGAACGTGTAATGAAAAATAAATTGTGGTAACCCATGTAATTAAAAATATAATCGTAATTTAAACCATTTTGATTTTATATTTTGAGATTCGCATATGAGATGCGATGCTAATGCTAGAAATTAGATATTTCATTTAACAAGGCAACACTATACACTCACTGGAAGTTTAATAATATGAGTGACATTAGAATATATAATACAATATAGAAATAGTAGAAGTGCCAGATCTGTAAAATTTGTTGTATTATAAGCAAAAAAAAAGTTTAATGTATGATGCGCGAATCCGATTCAACATCATGTACGATGGACATTAAGGGCTCAGACAAAAATGCAATTATTTTTAGTTTTATCATTGGTGCTTGATATAATTTAATCTAATATCTATCTAATATCTAATAGAATAACTGAACTATTACGCCAATTCAAATTGAATGCGTTGAATAGAAATTGCAATCCAGTTGCAAACTGTTTGTTTGATTGCTTAATTGCATGCGACCATACAGTTGTATTTGTGCGCGCTTGAATATAATCCTATGGTTGGAATGCAATTAAGTAATTACAGCAAAATTAAATATTGCCGTATATCTATCTCCTTCCAAGAAAACTACATTTAAAATCTAAAAGTATATTTACTTTTGCATATTTATGGCCGGTTATGCAGTTTTTTTGTCATGTGCACGTCTAAATCATTGATTTTCGTTTCAATTTAGCATATCTTTAGGAGTTTGCTAGAACAGTATCTCTCTAGCCGTTAAAAAAATTGTTTTGCAGTTACCAGCATATTAAAGTAAAACTTTTTGATATTACCCGCAAAACAAAATGTCTGCTGATGCGATCGGAAAAAGAATTATTTCAATGAAAAAAGTTATTATTTTCTAAAATTTTATTATACAAATCGCCATAGCTTTCTGCTGACGAGTATTTGTACATTAAATTTAATCAAAAAGACCGAAGCCCATGTCGTCATCTTCACTTTCAGATTCTTCCTTTTTAGCTTCTTTCTTTTCTTCTGCTGCTGGAGCTGCGGCAGTAGCTGCTGGAGCACTTGCAGCAGCGGCGGCTGCAAATTTGCTTGGATCTTTAATAAATTCTTTAATAGTTGTTGCTTCTTTGAACTCAACTTCAGTTGTAGCAGCAATAGCCAATAAGTTTTTGAAACCGTTTGCAATACTGTGTGGAGCGGATGCAATTGTTGGATAACCAATTTCTAAACAAACAGCTGCCAAATTTGCAACACCAGCTTGAAATTTGCTTCTAAGATCTTCTGGCTTAATATCAAGGATGTCTGGCGAAAAGATAGAGCCGGAATCGTAAACTTGTTCTATAACCAATCCATATGAGAATGGGGAAATGTTCAACATGTTCAATAATGTTGCCTCTGAAGCACCAACTTTATCTCCTGGCTTCAAAATTGGTACATCGTTGATAATTTCAATAGTACCTTTTGAAATTTTTGTTGGAATAGAAAGAGCTTGGAAGAAGGAAGTTTTTTCTGGACCAAGACCAGTATTTTGAGCTGGAATAACTACAGGTAATGGGGCAATAGCACCAGCACGAGCTGGAGCACGTACTTTACTTTCAGCAATTTTGTCCCTTACTTCAGCCAAATCTCCTTTAGTAAACACAAAACCAACGTTTCCTTTGATATGAGGTAAAAGTTTTTCAAGAGAAGCATTGTTTTCCAAATGACCACGAATAGCTTTTCTCATCATGGTGTTTTTCCCCATCAAAACTACACCCATACCTCTCAATGATGTACGAATCTGCTGCATTTGTTTTGAACCAACATTATCTGCTCCAACTATGAAACATTTCGGGTATTCATCAAAAAGTTGCTAAAAGAAAATTGCAAACATCTTAATATTTAATCTTAAACAAATATTTTCTGTACTTACGACGACTTTCACAAAATAATTAGCTTTCCATGCGGCTTTGTTCTCCCTACCCATCTTCAAAAAGTAAATAGGGAATCTATATCAGAATTTAAGAACTGCAATGGGATTTTTAAAATAAATTAAAATTAAAACATTTCTTTCAAAAATATATAATAAATTTTTAGGATGAATTTAAATTATTTTCTTCTTACCAAAGCAAAATTATAATCAACTACTCGTTTTGACAACGTCTAGTAAAGTGAACGATTTTTGCTTTGACATTTAAAATTTGTCATTTCAATTGTAAATATGGAAATGGACATTTCCGTATGTCATAAAGTACGAAATAAGACTGCTCCATCTAGTAGCAGATAAATCAATAATTTTTTCAAGTTTGTCTGTTAATAATTTTCACAAAATCCAGTTATTTTAACAAACGATTTTAATCATCGTTTTATTATTAAAATAGAATCCTATCACAGTCAAAATACTAATATGGTCGAATTTTTTTATATTTATAATATGGATTTGTTTTACGTTTTGTTTCCTAATCGCATATAACCGACATTAGATGTCTCTTATCGAATATCTAACACCGCTAGTGTTTTGTTTACTTCTCGACTGACGTTTATTTATTTTTTTCTTAAAGGCTTTGAGTTTTGAATTTTGAGTATTGACAGTGCGTCTATGTTAAAGAAAAAAGACCATTTTTAATACACACTCTAAACGTTTTGGTTTTTTGGATTATTAAAATTTATTTTATTAAGGTTTATTGTTTATTTAGATATTTCTGGTAGCTGCAATCATGGCTGATGCTGCTGCTAGACAACTTCAATATGAATATAAAGCGGTAAAATAGTTTAATTGAATACAAATTTTTAAAGTTTTAAATACATTTAATTTTTAGAATTCCAACCTTGTTTTACAAGCCGATGTACGTTTGATCGAGCGACCGAGACGTGATGAGGCTACTGGTGAAGTGGTTTCACTTGTTGGTAAACTAGATGGTACAAGAATGGGAGATCGATATCAAAGAACAAAACCTGAGAAAACGGAAGAACGGAAAGCCAAGTAAGTAAACAAATTGCTGTTTAAGATAAATTATTAAAGTTAAAAATAAATTATTTAATTAGACGTCAGAAACGCGATGAAGCGCAATATGACTTTGATAGAATGAAAGGGGCAACTTTGTTATCTGAAGGTATTGATGAAATGGTTGGAATTGTTTACAGGCCAAAAACGCAAGAAACTAGGCAAACATATGAAGTTATACTTAGTTTTATTCAAGAGGCTTTGGGTGATCAACCTAGGGATATTTTATGTGGTGCCGCAGATGAAATTTTGGCTGTTTTAAAAAATGATAAAATGAAAGACAGGGACAGAAAAAAAGAAATAAATAATTTGCTTGGACAAGTTTCAGAGGAAAGGTACGTATTATTCATTATTCTATTTCAAAATAATAAAATTCCATTAATGTTGAACTTATTTTTAGATTTGCTTTGCTAGTTAATCTTGGGAAGAAAATCACAGATTTTGGTTCTGAAGCAATTTCAGCTTTAAATGTAGCGAATGAGGAACATATTGATGAAACCTACGGAATAAATGTGCAATTTGAAGAATCAGAGGAAGAAAGTGATGAAGATATGTACGGTGAGATTCGAGATGAAGATGGACAAGAAGAGGGAGAGGAAGCTCGAGTTGATCATACCTTGCATGCTGAAAATGTATGTTGAAAATTTGTATGAAGCAATCGTAATATTTAAAAATCTATTTAAAAATTTTACATTTTAGTTGAACACTGAAGATGTTGGCAACACTAAGAAAGAAAGAGCATTACATCCTCTTGATATTGATGCTTACTGGCTTCAAAGGTGTTTGAGTAAATTCTACAAGGACGCTATGATATCGCAAGGAAAAGCTGCGGAAGTATTAAGTGTATTGAAAGACGCTAAAGATGATCGTGATTGTGAAAATCAATTGGTTTTATTACTGGGATATGATTGCTTTGATTTCATTAAGCAACTTAAAAATAATCGGCAAATGATATTATATTGTACAATGCTGGCATCTGCTCAAACAGATGGGGAAAGGCAAAAAATTCGAGATGCCATGAAAAATGACGGCTTCTTATCTAAAATTTTGCGACAATTGGATACTGGAAAAAGTGAAGAAGATATGTCAAGCGATGTATCAAAATCAAAGAAAAGCAAACAAGAAAACTCAGATGATGTGCAGGGTTATATTGGTCAAATTGCGGGACAACGAAATTTGTTAGAATTCGAAGAGTTAGTATTTAATCAAGGAGCGCATTTCATGGCTAACAAACGTTGTCAATTGCCTGACGGATCTTTCAGAAAACAACGAAAGGGTTACGAGGAAGTTCACGTTCCCGCTTTGAAACCTGTACCATTTGATGAGAAAGAGGAACTAGTTGCTATTGAAAAACTACCGAAATATGTACAACCAGTTTTTGATGGTTTTAAAACTTTGAATCGGATTCAAAGTCGTTTATGCAAATGTGCTTTGGAATTAGATGAAAATATTTTACTTTGCGCACCTACTGGTGCTGGCAAGACAAATGTTGCTCTTTTGACTATGATGAGAGAAATTGGGAAACATATTAACGACGATGGTAACTATCATGCTTAAAATTTTCAAAATTGACCATATTTTAATAAATATGTTTTAGGTACAATAAACGCCGATGAATTTAAAATCATTTACGTAGCTCCTATGAAATCTCTGGTACAAGAAATGGTTGGTAACTTTGGAAGAAGATTGGCTTGTTTCAATTTAACAGTTTCTGAGTTGACTGGGGACCATCAACTTACAAGAGAGCAGATTGCTGCAACACAGGTGATAGTTTGTACTCCAGAAAAGTGGGATATTATCACAAGAAAAGGAGGTGAGAAAACATTTACTTCTTTGGTCAGGTTAATCATTATCGATGAAATCCATTTACTTCATGATGAAAGGGGTCCTGTTTTAGAAGCTTTGGTTGCCCGCACAATTCGCAGCATAGGTAATTCACCATCATTCAAATACTGGGTTTAGATTTTAACTTTTCAAATAAATTTTTTTATATTATAGAAACAAATCAAGAAGATGTAAGGCTTGTAGGTTTATCAGCTACTCTTCCAAATTACCAGGACGTTGCATCGTTTCTCCGGGTGAAGCCAGATAAGGGGCTGTTTTATTTCGACAATAGTTTTAGACCAGTTGCTTTGGAGCAACAATATATCGGCGTGACAGAAAAAAAAGCATTAAAGCGTTTTCAAGTTATGAATGAAATTGTGTTCGAGAAAACAATGGAACATGCTGGCAAAAATCAAGTATTAGTTTTTGTTCATTCTAGAAAGGAAACTGGAAAAACCGCTAGAGCAATTCGTGATTTGTGCCTAGAAAAGGACACATTAGGAAGTTTCCTAAAAGAAGGATCAGCAAGTATGGAGGTTCTTAGAACAGAAGCGGAACAAGTTAAAAACTCCGAATTGAAAGAACTTTTACCTTATGGTTTCGCTATTCATCATGCTGGTATGACAAGAGTTGATCGTACACTAGTTGAAGATCTTTTTGCTGATCGTCACATACAAGTTCTTGTTTCTACAGCAACATTAGCTTGGGGTGTAAATTTACCAGCACATACCGTCATAATAAAAGGTACACAGGTATATAATCCTGAAAAAGGACGTTGGGTTGAACTAAGTGCTTTAGATGTTTTACAAATGCTTGGTAGAGCTGGACGTCCACAATATGACACGAAAGGTGAAGGTATCCTTATAACAAATCATAGCGAATTGCAGTATTACTTGTCATTGTTGAACCAACAGTTACCAATTGAAAGTCAATTTGTATCAAAAATGGCAGATATGTTAAATGCTGAAATCGTCTTAGGCACCGTACAGAATCTGAAAGATGGTGTGGTTTGGCTAGGCTATACTTATTTGTATATAAGAATGTTAAGACAACCAACTTTGTATGGAATATCGTTTGATAAAATTAAGGCAGATCCTTTACTTGAACAACACAGAGCCGATTTAATACATACTGCTGCATTACACCTCGATCGCAGTGGTTTGGTAAAATATGATAGAAAAAGTGGTCACTTCCAAGTAAGTTTCAGAAAAATTATTCTAAATTTTTTTTACTTATTTTCTTTTTTTTTCAATTTAAGGTAACAGAACTTGGTAGGATTGCATCCCACTATTATTGTACACATGAAACTATGATGACATATAACCAGTTGTTAAAACCAACTTTAAGTGAAATTGAGTTATTCAGAGTATTTTCCCTTTCATCTGAGTTTAAACATATTACCGTGCGCGAAGAAGAAAAACTTGAACTGCAAAAATTAATGGAAAGAGTCCCAATTCCAATAAAGGAATCAATTGAAGAACCTAGTGCAAAAGTAAACGTGTTATTGCAAGCTTATATTTCTCAATTAAAACTTGAAGGATTTGCTTTGATGTCCGATATGATTTTTGTAACACAATCAGCATCTAGATTATTGCGAGCAATTTTTGAAATTGTTCTTCATCGAGGTTGGGCGCAGCTCTCAGATAAAGCTTTAACTTTATGCAAAATGATTGATAGAAGAATGTGGCAATCGATGACACCTTTAAGGCAATTTAAAAAAATGCCAGAAGAAATATGTAAAAAGCTTGAGAAAAAAAATTTCCCTTGGGAACGTCTTTATGATTTGGAGCCCAATGAAATTGGAGAACTAGTCCGCATTTCAAAATTGGGTAAAACAATCCACAAATATGTTCATCAGTTTCCAAAATTGGAATTATCAACCCACATTCAACCGATAACTCGATCAACACTTAAAGTAGAATTAACAATAACTCCAGATTTTCAATGGGATGAAAAAGTACATGCTCAATCCGAAGGATTTTGGATTCTCGTGGAAGATGTTGATTCAGAAGTGATTTTGCATCACGAATTTTTCTTATTGAAGGAAAAATACGTTAATGAAGAACATTTGGTGAAATTTTTCGTTCCAATTTTCGAACCACTTCCGCCTCAATACTTTTTACGAATAGTTTCGGACAGGTGGATTGGAGCTGAGACGCAATTACCAGTTTCTTTCAGACATCTTATATTGCCAGAAAAAAATGTTCCCCCAACAGAGTTGTTAGATCTTCAGCCATTACCTATTACGGCTTTACGTAATCCAAAGTTTGAAGTGTTTTATGAAGATAAATATGTTCAATTTAATCCAATTCAAACTCAGGTGTTTAATGCAATTTATAATAGTGACGATAACGTTTTCGTTGCTGCTCCGACTGGATCTGGAAAAATGACTGTGGCAGAATTTGCAATAATAAGATTGTTTTCACAAAATCAAGATGGTCGTTGTGTTTACTTGGTGCCAAAAGAAACTTGTGTTGAATACGTTTTTAGTGAATGGTATACTAAGTTTGGTAGTATGAACATAAAAGTTGTAAAGTTAACTGGTGAAACTGGCACGGATTTGAAATTGATTGCAAAAGGGCAAATCATTATAACTACAGCTGAAAAGTGGGATATTTTATCGAGACGTTGGAAACAACGTAAAAATGTGCAAAACATTCAACTCTTTATCGTTGATGAATTACAATTGATAGGTGGCGAAGAGGGACCTGTTTTGGAGATAGTTTGCTCCAGAATGCGTTATATATCGTCGCAAATCGAAAAACAAATTCGTATAGTAGCGCTTTCTTATTCTTTAGCAGATGCAAGAGATGTGGCTCAATGGTTGGGCTGTAATGCGAATTCTACATTTAATTTTCATCCAAGTGTTAGACCGATTCCATTAGAATTACATGTTCAAGGATTTAATATAACACATAACGCTTCTAGAGTAGCGTCAATGTCAAAACCAGTTTATAACGCTATAATTAAATATAGTCCACATAAACCCGTTATAATTTTTGTTTCTTCAAGAAAGCAAGCTCGAATAACAGCGGTTGATATACTAACATATTGCGCTTCAGAATTAATGCCTAATCGATTTTTCCATGCTGAAGAAGAGGATATTAAACCATTTTTAGATCGAATGACTGATAAAACATTAAAAGAAACATTATCCCAGGGCGTTGCTTATATTCATGAAGGATTAACATCATCTGATCATCGTTTAGTTGAACAGCTATTTGATTCTGGAGCAGTTCAAATAGCTGTAGCAACACGTGATTTATGTTGGGGTTTAAATATTTCAGCACATTTAGTTGTAATAATGGATACACAATATTATAATGGAAAAAATCATTCATATGAAGATTATCCTATCACAGATGTTTTGCAAATGATCGGTAGAGCTAATCGACCGATAGAAGATGTCGATGCTAAATGTGTATTGATGTGTCAAACATCTAAGAAAGATTTCTTCAAAAAATTTTTAAGTGAACCGTTGCCTATTGAGAGTCATTTAGATCATAAATTACATGATCACTTCAATGCTGAAATTGTAACAAAAACAATAGAAAATAAACAAGATGCTGTGGATTACTTAACATGGACTTTCTTATATCGTAGACTTACACAAAACCCGAATTACTATAATCTGCAAGGTGTCACACACAGGTAAATTTTTATTATTCAATTTTATATAAGAAAACAGAATGAAAATTCATTAAACTTCTCTTAAAGGCATCTTTCTGATCATCTTTCTGAATTAGTTGAAAATACATTAGCAGATCTTGAACAATCTAAATGCATAAGTATTGAAGATGATATGGATACGTTACCATTAAATCTTGGAATGATTGCTGCATATTATTATATCAATTATACGACAATAGGTAAGGTTATATATTTCAGAAATATTCTAATTGTGATTTTTTGAACTCAAACTTGAATTTTTAATAGCTTCATCCCCGTAATTATGAAATTTAAAAAAATTTTATTTATTCTAATTATTATTTTTTAATTTTAGAACTCTTCAGTTTGTCATTAAGTAATAAGACTAAAATTAAAGGGCTTCTTGAAATAATATCATCAGCTGCTGAATATGAGGATATTGTAGTTCGACATCATGAAGAAAATATTTTACGTAGTTTAGCTCAAAGATTACCAAATAAAATTACCGGCCCTAATGATACTGCACCAAAATATAATGATCCACATATTAAAACAAATTTGTTATTACAAGCGCATTTATCTAGATTACAGCTTGGACCAGAACTTCAGGGTGATACGGAAATAATTTTGGGAAGAGCTATTCGATTAATTCAGGCTTGTGTAGATGTTTTAAGTTCTAATGGTTGGCTTTCTCCGGCTGTTGCTGCTATGGAATTGGCACAAATGGTTACACAAGCAATGTGGAGTAAAGATTCTTATTTAAAACAGTTACCACATTTCACATCTGAAATCATTAAAAGATGCACAGAACGGGTAAATTAATTTTTTTATATAATAAATAATCAGTATTGAAACAATGTTTTTTTTTTATTTTTAGCGTATTGAAACCGTTTTTGATATCATGGAACTTGAAGATGATAATAGAATTCGTTTACTGCAATTATCAGATAACCAAATGGCAGACGTTGCACGTTTTTGTAATCGTTATCCTAATATTGAAATGAGTTTTGAAGTTTTAGATAAAGAGCGAGTAAATTCCGGATCAACAGTAAATATTTTGGTACAATTAGAACGTGAAGATGAGGTTACTGGTCCAGTTATTGCACCATTTTTCCCACAGGTAAAAATTTTCAAAAAAAGTGCTATTGAAAAAATTTCAATAATTAACTTCTTTCTTGTTTTTCTAGAAAAGGGAAGAGGGCTGGTGGGTTGTTATTGGAGATCCAAAAACAAATTCTTTACTATCAATTAAACGTTTAACACTACAACAAAAAGCTAGAGTTAAATTAGATTTTGTTGCACCGAGTCCAGGTCGTCATGAATACACATTGTATTTTATGAGTGATTCATATCTGGGTTGCGATCAAGAATACAAATTTGAAATCGACGTTGGAGATTTTCAATCTGATAGTGGAAGTGAATCAGATTAAAAATTTAATTTTTAAGATTTATTGGTGTATTAAAAGAGCTTTGGTAATAAAATATTAAGAAAATTATTGTATATGATTCTGTTATTGAAATATTAATGAAAATATGAAATGTGGGTTATTTTTGAAAAAATATTAGTTTTTGCCATACGAGGGCAGATTGAATGGGTTATCTTTCAAACTCAACATTTTCTTTAAATTTATACAAAATTTCATGTATATAAATAGGAAAGAAAAATGAAAACTTTCAGAAATTTTCTCTAATTTGTTTTTTTTTTTAATTCGTAACGTAATTGTGCTTCTAACTCACTAATATGTTTGGCTTGTTATTGTCTTTTGTTTGTTGGTTATTTTGCCAATTCCTTTTTATTTAATTTCATTACAAACTATTTCTTTTCTTTGTTGAGCAATTCAGAAGCTTATAACTGATATTTTTCCTTAGCGAAAAGTTCCAATACAAATTTCGTAAAATTGATCCAACATATGACTAATTAGATATTTGATCTAAGTAATTTATTAGTCTTACAAGCTAATTGTGTTTCACTTTTTATTTACTTTCAATTCGGAATTCTTATTTTTTTAGTTTATCACTTTTTCAATTGAATTTTCGCACTCTCTCAAAATATTAACCGAGTGGTTTCGATATCTTTAAAAGCAAAGTGAATCAAAATTCGTATACATTTTAGAAAAGAATGAGATGCGCAATATGAAAATTTTCTTCTCGCTCCAAAATTACATTATACAAACCCACTGATAGTCAGTACTGATAGTACTTTTCTTCTCATTTGGCACAGTGATAGTACTTTTCTTCTCATTTGGCGAATAAATAAACGCCTTTAATTTAATATGTTAAAAATAAGTTCTCAATAATAAAGAAAATAACTACAATTCTATTATATAACATTCTATTTATATATGCATATATATTCTAATAATTCATGTAAATCGTTTACGATTCTTTAAAAATATACATCTTGTTTGTTTCTTTTTTTTTCAAATTTTGTTTTTGTTATATTCTATGAAAATAATTCTTATTTTTTGAGCATTTTTAAAATAAAATCTCAGCATATTAATTACTATATTTACATTTTTCTAATTATATACAGAATTATTATATCTTTATTTTTGGAGCTATGTATATTTAATTTTTTTAATGCTTGTTTTAAATTCAATCAATTGAATCTCTAATAACTATATAATTAAATCAATAAATTAAAAATATATAACTAAATAAATACAAATTCATTTTTGTAAATAATTTACAAGTTTTTCTTGTTTGAAAATTTTGCATAAAAAATTTAAAACAATTGAATAATCCAAGAAAAAAAGCCTAATAATAAAAAAAAATAAAGTTTCATATTAATAATAAAAAAAAAAACAATATCAAAAATAATAAAACGATTTATATGACTGCTTTTGCAGCAGCCGATGCTGATGTTAAAGTTTTTCTTTGTCTTATGCCTCTTCCGGTTAATAAATATGAAACATCAACTATAGGATCATTGGAATTGATTTGTGTTCTAAATTTTAATTTGAGTAAAACATTCTCAAGACGAGTTCGCCTTTGCGTTATTGTCTAAAAGAATAAAAATGAAAAATTTTCTTATAATTTATAAATGTTAATCATTACTTTTAAAGACAATTTTCTTCTTCTAACATGGATAAATTTCTTTTTCGGTGGTGGTGTTTCGCATGTTTCACTAACTTCATGTTTTCTCTTCTTCGGTTTTGATATTTCTTTCAAATCATGTGGCTTTAATTAAAAAAAAAATAAAATTTTGTACAAAGCTGATTACTTATCTACTATATAAAAAATATGTGTAATTATTTTATGTATAATATGTAATTAGAATTTTAAATAACAAAATTAAGTTGGGCTACAATATTCTTTAATATTCTATTTAAAAAATCAAGAAAAAAATTTCACTTACAGCATAGTTGCGGGAAACTTTTAATTTTTCTTTAAAATAACGAAAAGCATAACTTTTCGTGCATGTTATATAATTTTGTTTTACTTTTGAAAAGAATCTTGCACTTTTATCAACACGTAATTCACATATATATACGTGTTTTTCATCGGCACAATCAACTGGTCTTCCTTTACAAAATGTATTACGATCTAATACCCAGCATCGATCGATAACTAGTTCGATTGGTACAACTTCATATAGAGGAACTCTAACAACTTCGTTTGAATAAAATTTTCTAGATGGTTCATGAAATGTTTCATGTGGTCTTAAATAATGATGTCCAAATATAAAACGTTTTCCCTCATGATTTTTCCATAATCTTTCAACACGAAATATATCACATTCTGAATGATCAATTTTTCCAATTGTTTCATATGTATGTTTGTTAGTTAAATTTAAATTTGCAGTTCTTATTCCTGTTGTACTGCTTATTTCTTGACTTATTAATGAATCATTTTTATCGGAATTTTTTATCGGAATGTCTCTTAAAACATATACAGTATCGCCTTGACGTATTTGTAAATCGCCTCTTAATAATGATAAAAAATAACGATAACCTTCTTCAGTAAATTCTTCAAGCGGTATTTCTAAATTTGGTTTTCTAGGTTCGCATTTTTCACATAAATAATTTTCAATTTTAACATCAGCTTTTGTACATTCTGCATGCTGCCAAACTAAACATTGTGAACATTGTATCATAAGACCTTCATCTTTATATAAACCACATATACAACGGATTATATCTTCAGAGGTCTGTTTAAGTGATTTAGTTGGTTGCTTTTCTAGGGCAATACCATCTAATGATGATGATGATGTAGATGACGACGAGAAATTTTGTATAGAATCTTTTCTATTGGATATTTCTGCAAATTTCTTTTCAACTTCACCTTTCTTTTGATTATATAAATTTTGCAAGTTTTTTATAACTTCTATTAAATCATTTTGACTCGCATTTGCTTTTATTGAACATTCGAAAAATTGTTTAATATCCTTATCAAATAAGTCCTCATTTTTGTATATACCTTTTTCAATATTTCTTTTAATTGCTCCAAAATCTTGTATATGTTTTTTACTTGGTGACAGTTTTTTCCTTCTTGAATTTGAAAATATTTTTATGATAAATGGTTTACCGTCAACATCTGAAAGTCCAAGAAATCAATAATAAATATTTCCTTAATAAAATCAAAATTTTAATTTTTAAAACCTTTTAGAGTTTCCATTGTTTCACAAATTTCTTTTAATACCACAGCTATTTTTGCCATTTTTTCGATTTCAGGATCGTGAGCTGCTTGTGTTAAGCCTCGTGTTTTTATATTTCTATGAGTTTTTAAAGCAGATATTTGCGCAGCTAAGGACGAGGGAGTCAGTGGTCTTGTTGATATGTCTTGCGATACCGTGCTTGTCTGCTTTTCTTTTAATTTTCTTGTCTGTAATAATATTGAATTTATAGAATATATAGTTATTGTAATTTTTTGGCCAAAACAAATAAAATTGTTCTACCTTTTCTAAATTTCTCAACAAAAATAGGTGACAGTACCGAACAACCTTTTTTTCCTTATCTGTTAAGGGTTGAAAATTTTGCACAGCGACTTCTTTACTTATAAGATTTACTACATTTTTAACTGCTTTTCTTTTTCGTTTTCTTAAATGCTTTGGCAAAACTGGTTGCATTTCCAATGACTACGGAAATATGAAATCAATAAAAAATGAAAATTATTGCGGGCACATTTCTACATAAAATAACTTAAAATATGACAACTAACCTTTTGTTCTATTTTTATTCTTTGGGATTTTCCACCTATAACTCCTCTACATTGTGGGGTTTCACATCTGCATGGTTGGCCCTCGGACGGATTAAATAAAGAAAAATTATAATCATATGTTAATTCTTCTCCAGATTCTATATTTCTTGATGCAAATAATGCCATTCTAGGTAATCCATTTACAGACCATTTTTGCATCTCACAGTTTGGTGAACAGGAGTGATTAACAAATCTTCCGTCACTTCCCATTCGATGTCCATCAATAACCAGACCTCCATCAAGATGTAAACAATAGTGATGTGTATCATTTATATATAAAGTTGCCATCCTTTCCTTAAATTCTTTTTCAGTTACAACTTCACCAACATATTCCATTATATAAGTTCCTTTCTTTATAGGTAAATTTGTTCTTACGCCCCAACCTTTATTAGCGGTCATGAATCGCTCAGTTCCTGGAGCTACGTCATGCCTCTGAATTTTTTGATTATGACACTTATCTTTACAGGGACATGTAGATGGAAAACATTCCGTATACACCATCCTATTTAGACAGTCGTCCCCACAAGCAGATTCCATTTTACAATTGCAAGACTGATGATCTGTATTTAAGGGTCTAACAACATCAGATGCATATATATTTGTACGAATTTTCCTGTAATTCCAACTTGGAACACTTACACGTTTTGAAAGTTTCGAATTTTTATATTCTAACCATATATCGTGCGGTAAATAAAAATCCTGTATAGAGCGCCGAAAAAATTTTTCACAATATGGAGGAGGTGGAAGAAGATTATTATTTTCAGTTTCAAATTCCTGTTCCGCTTCTGAGTTCTCATTTAATTTACCCATTATACTATTTTTACGAGACTTCGTTGTCTTAAAGTAGTCTGAAAACAATCCTGCAACCAAATATGCCTTTTTCAATGATTTTCCTTTTCTTAAGCTACTATTTGACTGTGATTCAGATTCAGCGGCACTCTCATTATCAGACAAATCTTGATTCTTTTTAATCGGCAAGGGTTCATGCTCTAAATATTCTTTACATTTTTCCTCATTTGTTTTCGTTTTGGTTTGCAGCTTGCTTTCATTTGACTTTTTCGAAATATCTACTTTTTTTTGTTTTGAACTGTTTGAAGTTGTATTATCTATAGACTCTTTGCTTCTTTTATTTTTTGCTTTTACTTTTTTCTCAGTTCCATCATTGTTTTTACTCTCTGTTTCCATTGAAACTGTTAAAATTTTCGGTTTTCTGCCCCTAGGTTTACCTTTTGGTTTTTGGGAGATTGGCTGTAAAGTAAAATTTTGTTCAGTTATATTATTTTTAAACAACTTGCTTTCTTTTTTCAATTTCTTTTTTTCCAGCTTCTCAATAGTTTTTTTGATGTTTTCAAGTTTCGCTATCTTTTTCTTTTTTTTTGGTTCTTTTTCAATTTTCTCCTTTTCTTTTGGCAAATGAGATTCTAAAAGACTTTTTTCATGTTCATCAGGATTAAAATCTAGTATTTCTATATTTTCATCATTTTGAAAATTTTTATTTAAAATCTTTTTCTTTCGAACAGTAGGAAATCCTGTTCTGTTGATTTTTTTGCGCTTCCTACGTTTCAGTAATAAATCTGCCCCAGTTTTGTTTAATAATTTTTCGACAACACATTCTTTTGTTTTATGTAAATCATACAGATTTTTATTTAGAGGTGAGTCAATATCAGACTTTTCCATGATACTATTTACGTGTATCTTCGTTGCCGGGATCTGAATTTCTAAATCAATTGTTGGTTCAAATACTCCGGGTGGTGGATAATTGTAAGTTTTGCTTTCAATTTTATCTTTAGATTTTTGAACCAAACTTTCGGTTTTTAACTTTTTCTTTGAATTACATGGATCTACAATATTGTTATTGTTTTTTATATGAATTGATTTGTTTATAGCTTCATCCTTATTCTCAACTGATTTCAAAAGATTTTTCTCGTGATCCACATATCTGCCAGATGAATCTTCTTTAGCTACAAATAAAAATTAATTAAACAAAAAGTCCTATTACAAAAGAAAGAAATATCTTACTCTTATTTGAATTTGCATCTAATAAGTGACGAGTTTTTGTTGGCAAAGCCTCTACATTTATTTTTACATTATTGTTTGCTGAAATGATTGTATCCTTATTATTATTTTCAAAATCGGGTTGCAAATTCTTTCCGTCGGTTTTTTCACGGGATGCTAATAAATAGTGTCTTTTTTTGAGGGGTAACTTGTGTTCATCAGGACTAGAACTAATTGCTTTCTTATGCCTTCTTTTTATTAAAGTAGCGCTATTGTGATGGGTTTCAATATTTTCACTAATTTTTCTTTTTTTTATATTCTTTTTAAACAATGATTTACTATGCAAATTCTTTTCTGATTTCTCATCTAATTTATTATGTTTAATTGGTTTTTCTTTAAATTCTTTTGATTCTTTAGAATCTTTAGATGATTTATCACAATGAATATGGCATGATTTTGGGAAAGATTCAATCAAAATTTCTATTTCTGCACTAAGTTTAGGATCAATGACTATATTGGAGGATTTATTGAAATACTTATTTCGTCTTTTACGATATTTTTTACAACGAGAATACCCCGAATAACAGCTACTGCGAATACTAACACCAGAGGATCTTCTTGATCTAACATACCGTGGAAATAAATCTAGTTCTTGCTTATCATCATTATATAATGTATCATTTAATTTACTTGTACTTTCATTTATTTTAGTATTAAAAATGTCGTAATTGCTATCAGTTTCATTTACAATTTCAGAAAAGGCACTGGTTATATTTGGAGTTCTAGAACCATCAAGATTTCTACTACTGCAATAATATTCTCCAGTTCTTACAAAACGGTTAATTTCTCCATATTTTTTGGAAGAATCTATTGGTCGCTTGCATACTGATTCTCTACTACTACCTTCACTACTTTGGCCTAAAGTTAATCCAGCAAGTTGTAATATGTCTTGATCATTTATATTACTCATAGATTTCGCATGTTTATTAGATAAATTAATGTTGAGATATTTACGTTTTCTATGAATTTTACGCATCTTTCTCGAACATCTATAATCACAACTTTTAGCTCTGCTAGCACAGGTTTTACTGCTATAATGACTTTTGCAACTAACATCACTTTTATATCCAGAATAATTTCGACTACAATAATTAGCACAATCGCTCACATAACCACCTTTCGCAGCTAAAACTTTACTGCATACCGTACTGCCACCATCGCTTTTATATCCGCTTAGTGAAGGCCTTCTGAATTTAGAATTAGCATCTATTTTTCTCCAAATTGGATCTAAATTTTCATGCGCTTTCTTTTGTGACTTCGTTTGTTTATTTTGACTTGCTTTCTTTTTATTTCTTGGTGGATAAAGCGTTCTTTCATTTGCATATATTTGTTTATCCAACTCTGAAATGTCTAATTTAGGTTTCGGGGTTGCTAATATGCTACTTGTTAAGCTATCGCTTTGACTATCTGGTTTTGAAATGGTAGAAAATTTGCTAGTTTCATCTGCATTTAGAGCTTTAATAAGATTCGGTGAACTATAGCTTACGTTATCAGAACTAATAGGTAAATTTGTAGGCACGGAATTATTTGTACGCTTTGGTCTTCCTCTTTTTTTTCTTGATATTGTACTAGAATCCTGAGCTAATTTTTCATCAGAATTATCTCTCTTGCAACAGACAAGTGGAGATGATTGACTACTTTTAGATTCACCAATTTCCTCCCTAAATGAACTACCTAACATTTGAGTTTTTTCCATAAAATCTTGTAACAGTGATGATGTGTATTGTTGCTGGGGAGGAAATGTATTATTGTCGGTATCTGATTCACTAGCATTTGCATTGACACGACGTATAGCCTCATTAACCAGTTCAGGGAGCTCGTTATCGCTCGAAGAAATGCAACCAGAATTTAGGGCATCACTCAATTGCAAATGTGATTTATCTGTGCAATGTACCACAAAATCGGTTTTAGATTCATTCTTTTTATTTTTGAAAATTTTTTCTTTGTCATGAAATTCTAAACTATGCTTTTTCAGATCCTAAAATTAAAATGTACTTATTAAAATAAATTACTTAAAATTTTCCAAATGTGTAGGACATATTTACCTTATCCTTTTTTTTCTTTAATTTCACTTTCTTCTTGTTTTTTGTTATTTTGATATCTACACTATCTTCGAAATCAGTTGGACTGCACAATGAGCAGCATGAGCTTGAATAAGACGACATTTTCCTTTTTTTTTTATGTTTTTGCTTGTCTGTTGACGATATTTTATTATTTATAGTATTATTATTATCAGACAAATTATTATTAGTAATATTCTTCCGTACTGCTGATATTTTCATTCGAAGTCCACCATTATCAGATCTAAAATATAAGGGATTCTTTAAAAATAAAAAAAAAACAAATTTGCAATAACTAAAAAACAAACATTTAGTTTCAAATACTTGACGCAAAAGAAAAATTATAAAAAAATACAAAACTAAAGCTATAAGAATAATGGAAGCAATAATAAGAAAATAAATAAATACTTAATTGTACATATATATATGTATATTTAATAAAATGTATAATTTTGAACCATTAAGGAAGCTAAATAATAAATTTTTTTAAAAGTTGTAAAAAAATTTACTTAATTTAGATGTATTTTGGTCTAAAAGATTTAAAACAGAATTAAAGAGTTCTTAAATAATTAAGCTTAATTTCAATTATATCATATTTAGCAGATATTCAGAAAATATTAATGGAGCGATAGTTATATTTAAATATTGTTATTAGTAATTTCTGATATAATAAACTAGAACAAATCCAGTAAGTGCACACTTTTATTTAAACAAAAAAGTGATGTTATAATATGTAATACACAATGAATTTTTTAATGAAAAATTTACAGCAGCTATAATTTGTTTCATTCATTACCTTAACACGCTAAATTGTGGGTAATCATTGCTGCATCGATTCGTTTTTTTTAAATTCACTGTTGAAATATTTGAAGATGTATCGGAGCCCTAAAAATTAAGAGAAAATAAACAGAAAAAAAAAAACAAAATCAAAAGAAAACAAATGTTCAAATAAAACTTAATTGACCAACAATTTATAATAAAACCTAATAGAACGTAAAAGTTTACCAAAAATTTATATGAAATTGAAAAACTTACCTCAGCGTTTACGCCATCTACTTTTTCATCCATAAGTGTATCATTTGAATTTTTCATTTTTTTTGGAAATATTTGATCATATCAATTATAAGCCTTAAAAAATATTTTTACAACATTAGCAAAAAAAATTAAGTAGGTACATAGGTATGTGTTTTGTCATAACAAAGAAATATTAATATAAAAAAAACTATATTTATTTTCATATGTATATGGGTAGCTATGAAATTTGTATATGGGTCAACGTCTAAATATTAATATGGAAATAAATTTTAACATTTTCATTTTTTTAATACTAGTATGTAATATCATTAAAATTCATTATAGTTCGATTTATTTTTATGCTTATTATTTACTGTTATACCCTTATTAATTACTTTCACTAGAATAAAATCAATCAAGATTTGAACACAAAGTAAATATACAAATTATGTACCTTAATAAAAAAAACATACTATAATTAATACCAAAAAAATATAAGGTCGCTATGTTAAAAGTCAACTACTCAAACGAAACTAATAAAATTTCTTTAATGAAAATTTATAATGCATTTTTAAGCAAAAAAAAACAAAAAATAATTTATACTTAAAAGTATTTTTCATATAAAATAGGCAATATGTATTCTTTAGAGCAAATAATGGCATATATTATATTTTTTATATACATATTATGCAAACTGATTTTTATATATTTAAGTAGGTAATTAACATAAAAAACTAAAACAACCATATTTCTGCTCCTCACATATAATTGATGTTTGATTAAAATTTATTACATTACAATTAAATATTAAAAGTTTTTATTGAAAATATTTTGAAATTTTCAAGAATGTTTTTATTTTGTTTGCCCTACATTTGGATGGATAGTAAAAATTTTCATAACAAAAACTAAAATGGCGCGGCGTTGTCAACGAATTAAAAAAAACGCTAATAGTTTTCTATTTTTATACCTTTAAAAATTTTTTACACCATCCCAGTTTACATTTATTTTATTAATAAAGATTTATATTTTATTAAAAAGCTAATAATGCAATAATAAATTATCTTATCATATGAAAAACTTTTAAATTAAATTTTTTTTTACGAAATAACCAACAAACAGCAACACAGTCAAATTTAATACACAAAAAAAAGCAGTTGTCATTTTTTAAGTATAGCTAGCAACTAAAACATACTGTGTGACATTTATATATAAAAATTGTTAGGGTTGAAATATTTTCCTACAATGTATACCTACTTATTATTAAGGAAAATAAGTCGTACATAACTCCAAAAAAATTATATATAAAGAATAACCTAATTAAATTTTGATTATTAACAATGCCTTTTTGTCAATTTGTCTATTAAGCATTCTCAACCATATTAAAAAAAATATTTATTTAATTGGCATAAGCCAGCAGACTAATTTTGAAAAGTGACTTAATTTGAAAAATAACAACGTTAACTCCATTATTTAAAAAATCAAAAATAATCTTCTCTCATATGCAAGTTTTCTTCATTATATTCATTGAAAAAAAGTCGCAAGAAAATATATTAGGTCATGTTATAAAAAATTAAAATATATATGTACATCTATATAAATGTACATTAATTAATAATTTATAAGAAACTTTAATGCATATTCAAAAAAAAAATAATTATAAAATACAATGCTCACAAGAGTAAAGAATATATCAAAATTAAAATCATTTAACAAAACAATTTAATTAATATATTTTGCTGAAAAAAAACCCTTTCAGATGATTGATTATATAAATATATATATAATTATTAATTCTGTTAAGTTGAGTTATTAACTTTGTTATCAAGAGTTCGATATTTTTGTTGTTTATTTTATATAAAAATATGAGATTTTGACATTCCCTTTTTTTTTTAACTTAGATGTTAAATCTGATCAGATTTAGAATAATCTAATTAGAATTATGTAATCTAAGTAGCAAAACGAAAACGACCTTATTTCGTCATTAAAAATTTTTTCAAATTTGAAGTGTCGAACTAAATATGTATGAGCTTAGTGAAATTTTTCAATTTTTCAGCATGTTAAGCGCGCTCTGAGCATATCTGAGCACTTTGAATCTGTTATGATGTAAAAAACTAAAGTTTCCTTTGATGCTTTTTTCTCTCTATCAAAAGTTGAATCAAAATGAGCTCAGATGCTCTGAGCATGTCTGACAAATTTGAATCTGCTCTGATGTAAAAAACTAAAGTTTCCTTTGGCCTAAGTATAAGCTCTTTTCTCTCTATCAAAAGTTGAATCAAAATATATTTATGTAACTTCAAGATAAAAATAGAAAAGAGTAATTTTCTGCGGTAAAATTTCAGAATTCATATAGAGAGTACGCGTATTTAAATGAGCAAATCGTCTGCCGTTGCTGTTCACCACTTTGGTTATGTTTTCACAATCAATGTGGAAATTCATTCAAAAAGCCAATTTTATTATTAGTGTACAAAATTTATTATTACAATTACGTACATTCTTATCTGAAATCTATCAAATGACACTTAAAATTGATCCATTTTCATTTTATTGCTCAAATTGTGTATCCAAGTTTTTTTTTTTGGAATAATATGTTATCTTTTTTATACGCGATTATTCTTTTACGTCTGCAATGTTGCTGAATGAGCTTATAAAAGAATGTCAAATTTGACATTATATTGATTATAGTACGAACACTGCAAGTGTCAAAAGTATTGTGCAAATTTCGCAAAATACATCTTTATTTTACAGTTTTACAGTTAGTTAACAATTAGCAGGCGCGCACATAATTTTATTGTAGTGAGGCTGAAAATAAAAATTAAAATAGTAGTAAAAGAAAATTTGATATTAAAATATTATTTATATAGCTAAATAATTTGAAATTATAATTATTTAAGATTTATCTGTGATTACCGAATATTGTTCATAAAAATTTGCTTTAAGTTTGGCTGTCATATATTAAAAAAAAAACAAATTCTTAATTTGTGTGTTTCGTGGAATTCAGATTTTTTCAATGGGTTTAAAGAGCGATTGCCTACCTTGAAAATATTTTTCTTAAGTTCGAAAATATTAAAACAAAAGAAAATTTAAATAAACTGTTTTATTTTTATAATACAAATCAATCGTGTTAGCTTGAATTATATTTCATATAAAAAACATATACTGGAAAAACGTGTAAAAATCTATAAATACTTTTTTCCGCGTCTCCTCCAATATTGAAAAAAAAGGAAATTTGTTTTCTCTCGTTTTTTTTTAGTTTTTCGTTTTAACTTAAGGCCTCAATAAATTGGCCAGGCATTATAATGTTTAATAAATTATCCTAGTTATTAATAAATTTAAGTGGAAATTTTAAATTTATATTGAAACTATATACTTAGTATAAATACATAAATGTATTCATTTTTAATTATAACCTGATTGTGCAATTGTTTTCCTTAAAATTTGTAGATTTCACATTAAGAAAAGCAAATTTCGTTAATAAGAACTACTCGTATTAAAAAAACTTGCAGAAAAAGCAGAAATAAAAAGTATACACAAAATATTTTTTATTTTAAAGTAAATTTTAATAAAAAAAGAGGTTATAAACTGTTTATACATAAGAAAAAATAAGAAATCCATTTAGAATGGTTAATCAACAACAGACTGCCAAAATCTTAGATAAATTCCAAGATACAAATATACAACAAACATCTAATAGTGGAAATGATTTGTCAGCTGAAGAGAAAATAGTACAAGAAGATTTAGAGCGTTTGGAGAAACTTTTTAAAACTTTGGATCGAGATGGAAAGGGTAAAATTGATATACATGATTTATCAGCTGCTTTAAAAGAATTTGGATTGTCTTCTAAATATGCCGAGGTAAGTCTATATTTGGTAATGAATTACACACACTTATTTTTTTTTATCTAGATCGGTACATACATATGCAATAAATATAGTATATACAGAAAGTTTTTCTATATATGTATGTATACTATTTCCGTATTTTACGTTTATATTGTGTGTAGTCTTAGGTCAACACAATTTTCGTTGTGGCTGAAATTTGAAAGAAGAAAAATGTTTTAAAACTTTTCTTCTAATAGGAATAGTTTCTACTTTTAAGAGAAGTGAATTTTTTAATTAATGGTGAGGTCATACATGAGTCATGAAACATACATATACCTATCAATCCTAAACATTGTATTTTAAATAAGCACCCCGTTAGTCTTTTTGCTTTTTTTTGTATTTTCTTATAAAAGTATGCATAATACATACTTTATAATGTAGTAAAGCAAATTAAACTTAATGCAAATATTGGAAAGGCACACGTGTGGGTTATTTTATTTACATATTAAATTAATATTCCAAAAATATTCACTTTTTTATAAATAGAAAATTTGGTATGCAAGGTGCTTGCCTTTTAATAATGAGTTACCTACCTAATTTTTTAACGTTGTTTTTTTTATTTAATTAATATAAAATGTATGTATATAAGTAGGTATTATAAATACTATAAATTACATTTATATACACAACTCATTAAGCCTGAATATATCCCCAGCTATGTACCTACACACACTACTTAGAATAGGTACCTAGTAAGAAAATTTCTAAAGAAATTTTGTTTACAAGAGTTAAAACTTACAATATGATCCATCACACTTGTTACCATATAAAGTTGCAAGTTATCTTCCATTTTTTTCAAATGCTATTTAAAGAAATTAAAAGAAACTTCATAGTTTGAACACCTTTCTTTTACCTGTTCTCGACTTTCATCTGGTAGGAGATGGTAAGCTATCTAGGAGAAGATTGATTTTTAATATAAAAAAAGTTTATATTCCAAAATAACTTACTGAAATATGAAATATTCACCAGCACTTTCTAAAAGTGTTACGAAATATTATTAAATAATATTGTGCTTTTTGTGTATAACTTCAAATTTTAAAATTGATTTGATACAAAAAATTACAAAACATTTGAATAATATTATATTCACATTATGTGATACGTTTTTGAAAATAAAAAGTATTATTTTGCTTGGTATAAACAGACTCAGAGATAAAAAGCAAACTAAAATTTTTTATTTTCCTTGTAATCTTTAGAATTTGAACGGTCGCACAACAATGGTGTTGTACTCTAGGTATAGATGCTCGGAGCCTTTGTCTACTCATATACTCTAATTAGTACTCACACATTCGTAATGATAAAGATATAATGGTTTTACCTGGTAGTTATACATTAATTTACATTACTGAAATTTTACATGAATATAATGGCATTCAGAAAGAATAATGTTTTCTAAAAAAAGTTACTTTCATTCAAATATTTCAGATTTGAAATATTAAAATTAGCTTTGTTAATAAAAAAATAAACAAAATATGTAGGTAAACACAATTTATATGTATAACAAAACTTAGCTCATATTTATGCTAGGGTATTTTTTTTTTTAATAGATGTATTTTGGACTTAGAAACGTTTTAAAATTAGATTATGTCTGTTAAAAAATAAAAAAATTAGATAAGATAACCAAGAAGGAAAAAAAATTTATCAATTAGTTTATAAGTATAATATAAATGAACTATTTGTACGTGTACTAGCCCAAAATTGATGTTGGTAAATTTCAAATTAAGATCTAATTATTCTAAATCTAATAAAGGGCTGTATTTTTGGTTAACAGTCAGAAAAGTTGTTGTTTTCTGGTTTTCATAATAATATTTTCCATCCATTTATAGATAAATAATTTTGATCATAATTAAATAATTATATTCCAAGTATTTGATATACTCGTAGGTACCTATATTTAGGTCAAAAATTAAAGATCAATTAAATTAAAATTTTTTTAAACGAAAGGTATTTATTTTTTAATACAAAAAAAGAAAATAGAAATTGTTAAGGTGTACTGAAGTTTAATCATAACCGTTAAATGAAAATCTAAAATTTCAGTCCAACTGGAGTACGCAGTTCACTGGTTATTCACATAATAATAGTATCTATTTACTAAACAATCTTACTTAATAACAAAACATTGATCAGAGGTATATTAGTTGCATTTTATAAGTAATTAATTATTTTATTTTATATTTATGTATTTATATTTCGGGTTTTTTGTGTATATTAAACAGTTTTGGTTCTGAAAATTGAAATTGGAGAAATTCAAATTATGCGGGTTGTCGTTCATGCACGCTGCATTGAAAATTCTAAATTAGTACTTAAATTTCTAAATCGCAGCGTTAGACAGTATGCAAAAATTTCAACTTAGCTTTTTATGTGTACGCAGTCTGGAAATTCTGAAACTTCCAAATAATCAGTCGTGACATAAATGAGATTCTTATGAAAATTAAAATGTTGAAAATTTAAAGCTGACGCGGCAGCGAAAATATGCAAATTAGATGTCGCATTGCATTTCTGACATTTCGTTATTAAGTATGGAATGAATTTCTGAACGCACTTTATGTAATAAAGTGGAGTAACTTCTGAACGATCTGTGCCTTCATTGTATGCAGTGTACAATTTTCGAACGTACTACAAGTTAAAAATATTTTAGAATCGAATTAACGGAATCCGCCTATAATTAGTAATACAGAATTTTACAGTGAATATATTTCTTGTTTTCTCTCATGTATGTATAATACTTTCCTATAGATATTAGGTTATGTTAGGTTGACGCAGCTACCGCAAGGTGCACATAGATATTAGTTTTTAAGGTATTATTCAATATCATAGGTATTAGTCCTAAAGTTTCTGCTTAGTATAAAATAAATATAAATGATTGCATGATTTTGTGTAATTTCATATTTTTATGCAACTAAGCAGTAAGTTGTTAAATATATTTGAAAAAATTGCTAATATTAATCGTTTATGCTGCGTTTATCTTACTTGAAAAATAAAAATGAAAAATAGCTTAAATAGCATAAAATTAAATATTATTTAATATTTAATTTATTCTTTCTTATCTTGTCGGGTTGTACTTAAAAATTTAATATCCATTTTATAATTTTTTACATACACATTTTTAATTTTTAAAAATAATAAAAACCGGCATAATAAAAATGAGAAAATTTTTTTTTTCTATGTCGCATTATCGATTTTTACGCATGAAAAGTTGAAAAAAGTTTCATTTCTCTATTCCCCATTGTTTTTAATTTTTTCAAGGCGATTCAAAATTTTTATATGAATTTTATATTTAGCGTTTTTCTTTTTAATATAAATATTTTAAATAAAATAGCACATGAATAAATTTAGAAATTATTAACGAAATTTTGAAATTTTATTTAATTTTTGAATAATTCCTCTGGAACAGTGTTATTTAAAAAAAAATAATTAAATAAAATGATAGTGTGACTAGATAACTAGGCAATTGATTTTGAAAATAATAATTCACGGTATGTACTTTAATTGTGTAGACCTATTGAAGTCAGTCATATTACTTTAGTTTTTTAATTTGCGCCTAGGTTGTATTTACTATTAATTAAACTGATTTTTTTTATTTTTGTTTTCATACCATTTTAAAAAATAATGTGCAACGTTGCAAATTGATCCCTCTTGGGGAAAGCATTTATTTTGTACAAAGTCCACAATAGTATATTGATGAAAAAAACAATTTTAGTAAATACTTAAGAAAATTCGTGTTACTTGTATTTTGCTTAAATTGTTCCTTCTCTTTAAAATTATTCTTATTTACCTATATTACTAATTATTATTCTTGTAATCGGTGTGGGTATTTTATAGATTGCTTGCTCATTTGCATTATTTTGAGTTATGTACTTAATTGTGAGCAAGTACATGTATTCGGCTGTATTATTTTTAAACTTATAATAATTTTTTTTAAAACATTCTTTTTAAAAAATGTTTAGAAAAAATATTTTCATAAAAAAATACAAAAAGCAATTGTATAAATTGCATGAATATTCTATACTTATACAAAATTGTTTTTTTTTTTCTAGCCATATGGAAATTTGCAAAATACAAAGTTTTTGTAAATACGAAATTTTTTTTCTTTTCTGTTATGTTTGGTACTCGTATAAACTTTTTATACTTACTTTGAGGCTTTTGCTTTTGTGCTAATAATTTTTTTTATTATATTTCTGTCTGAATAAATTTACATTTCTTTATTTGTTTGTCTTAAATTGTTTATTTAATACATTTAAAAATTGAAATTTTTTGAATTTATATTTTGAAAATGTGAAATAAATGCAGATTTTTTATAAGATTAAAATATGTTTAAAGGGTTTAAAAAACATATGCGCTTGTGTTAAACGCCCTTGATATAATATTATTGAATAGAAATGTGAATAAAATATATAAAAAAAAATCTCTTTTAGATTTTTATTTAGAATATTATTTAAGTGATAGGTTAAAATTTTCGGAAAATTATTGCATTAAGAAAATATAACAAAAAATTCATTAAATAATCAATTACAGGAATTTTGTTACAAGTAGCTGAAGTAATCAAATAAAATATTAAACGAAAATATATTGTAATTGAATCTATTTATTCATTTAAAGACATTTACTCTGCAACATACTTTAAAATTTCCTAATAAGAATGCTATATAATATTCAGTGTTTTGATATGAATGTCAATACAAATTAATTTTAATGTTCTTTAAAAAAGGCTAAACTCAGCAATAAAGAGTTTTACTTCTTTTAATTCTGATAAGCTCAGTGATTGAGATTTGAATTTTCTTTTTCAAAAATTCAATCGAATTATTTATTCAAATCGAATTTCAAACACATGTATGTATATCGACTTTAACACAACTAATAAAATTTTTCATTTGTGAAAAAAAATTCCTTAATAATTTGCCGTAATTTATTTTAATTAAATTAACATTTCTTAAAAGGGACCATTCAGATTTTTTAATGAATAATAAATTTTTATAAAATATACTTACATATGTACAATATTTGCCATTTTAATATTTCTCAATTATTTAAGTAGGACATTATGTAAAAAATGTTAAAAAATAGATGTCAAACTATCTAAATTTTGCCAACATTAATTATCATATACTTATGTACATATATATAAATATATATAATTTTACACCTGATAGAAAAATTATTCTTGAGGTTAAAAAATATTTGCAATAAAATTCTTAAGTATTTGAGCCAAATATTTTTTTTTGTAATAATTAAATTACAACAATCTGGCCACTGAACGGAACATCAAAATACTTAGATAATTAAAGATTTTGTAAAAAATATTTAAATGAATGAAATTATAATTATTTTTTATTTTATAATACAATAATGAACAAATTACATGATAATAATTTTAATTAGTTGTAAAATATATTTTATTAATTTATTTTATTTTTATTTTAATTTTCAGACATTCTTACAAATGTCAGATAGTGATGAAAGTGGTGATGTTGGTTTGGCTGAATTCATACATTATGTTCGTGAACATGAAAAGAATCTTAGATTACAGTTTTCTCACCTGGACAAAAATAGAGATGGTAAGATACAATTTTTTTTTTATTTCTTTTCAGCTGCACTAAGTATTTTTTATTTTAAATTAATTACATATTTTAATAATTTCAGGTAAAGTTGATTTGGATGAGTTAATAGAGGCATTTAAAGATTTAGGAATTGAAATGGATCAGAATGAAGCAACTAAATTGCTTCAAAGGTAAATAATTTATAGAGACACACAAATATAAATTTATATAAATTTCAAAATTAATTTTTAATTAAAATAAGTTAATTGTGTGTATTAACATTATTTGGAATAAGTTAAAGAAATTTTTTTTATAGTTTTCCTTGCTTTCCGATACCTATATTATAAAATACTTTTATTGAAACTTACCTTAAAATATTTTCTTTGTAGAATGGATCAAGATGGTAGTCTTAATATTAGCTATGATGAATGGAGAGATTTTTTATTATTGGCACCATCAACTGATATTCATAGTCTTATAAAATTTTGGCGGCATTCTACTGTAAGTACTTAAAATAATTTCCATTATGATATAATCAAATTTTAATTGGGCGGCTATCTGAAGTATTTTCCTATTTTTTAAATGAATACATTAATTAATTAAATACATAATATTATATTTTAGATATTAGTTTTATATTATTATCTATAACGTGTGCTGAAATATGTTTTTTAAGGCTTGATGTGTCATTAAAAAAAAAAATAATGTAATTCATAAGTACAAGAAATTTTTCTTTCTGTAGACAAAATTATTTATTTTTAAAATTATAATACATTATTTCAAATCCTATCAGATAGTTGTGCAGTTATTTAAGATATATTTTTGGAGTATTCCTAACAATTTTATTAAACTTAAACTTAATTTTTAAATTATTTTTTTATTTTTAATATTTTCTTTTTCTTTATTTTCTTTTTCATCATACTTATAAACTTCTATTTTATTTTTTGAAAATGTAATAAATTCAAAATGAAATATACATACATTATAAAACAAAAAACAAAAATGAAAGCATATAGTAGATTTCAAATTATGAGTAACAGAGGAAGTTATAAAGGTATAGTAAAATGTAAACTTTAAGTAAAATAGTTAATTTGTTTAGGCAGTTAGCAATTAGTTTTGTTGGGAAAATGGCAAAATAAAAAGGAAACATTTCTCTTTTTAAATAAATAATTTTGATTATGTGTATAACATTACATTCGATATTAATGTTTATTAAAAATTTAGCGTTACTTTTTATAACTTTGAAATAGTACCTGTCAATTACTAGTACCGAAAAATAAATATTGAAAAACTTCTCTGTAAATATATAATAATTTCCAAAGATACTTTTCATTACGTCTGCTATGGTCTAGCTTACACTGGATGATAATTTGCAAATTTTAGCACAATTATCAATTATATAGAATTAATTAATAGTAGAAATCTATAGATAGTAGAACTAAGTTAAAACTAAAAATTAAAATGGGAAAAAATAATAATATCGTTAGTGTTCTGTTAGTATTGTGTCAATCAGTTACTAAAGAGTTGATCAGTTCAAATTTGTAAATTTTCAAAAAATTTGTCTTGTTTACAGTAAGTGTAATTATATATAATAACTACTATTTAGCTTTTTTATTTCGTTTAGAGTTCTAGTTCACATAATGGTTGTATTAAAAACATTTTTCAAATACATAGGGTTTAATGACCCTAACTTACCATAATTTTTATTATTTTCAATAAATTTTTAAATTATAAAGAAAAAAAAACAATTAAATATTTAGTATTTGTTAGGCTTTTCTTTCCAAAAAATTATAAATTGAAATCAAGTTATTTCAACTAAATTGGAAATTTCAAATAAGAATAATAATGAAATTCTAGAAAGTTATTGTTTATTTGTTTTTAAGTTTTGTATTGTACACTTTCAATTTGCTAGAAATTAAAATTTTTTAATAATTGTATTTTAGTACTTGCAATATTATTTTTATAATTGCAATGTATTAATATTTGTAATGTAGAATTATTTTAATAATTTATTAATAGTGACGACACCTGTAAATCTAATTTGGGTTTGAAAATATCTGGAAGTTCGAAGTGTATAGAAAACATATTTATTTTAATAGTGAATTAATATTTTTGCAAGTGATTTATTTATTGATTTTTATGAGAAAAAATTTATTAGAAATTTTACATTTATGTATGAAATTTTTAAAGTGTTTGTATCGTAGAACTCTTTTTACTTTTTTTGTTTATGAAATTGATATCAAAATTGTGAACGCTCTATTTTCTGAAATTTTAGCATATAAGGTTCATGTACCTTAAAAAAAATTAATAAAATTAAAATTTTGTTTTAATTTCAATATCGTTTTTTATGAGTAGGAAATACCACAAGATTTTTCTTAAGTACAATTTATAATTTACTTGAATGTACCTTTTTAAATAATATTTTTAAATTTCCTAAATTCCTCCCATTACTTTTATTAAGTAATAAAAAGAAAAGTTTTACTAAATATTTTAGGTAATATTTTTCATAAAGAGTTGAACAATTGAAAATATTTCCCAATATCCACCATAAATTTTTTGTTTATTAAAAAATTACTAAAAACTTTGTTTTTAGATATGTAATCGTATACGGTTTATTAAAAAAAAAAATAAACAAAAATCATATATAAAATATATAAATACATAATCAAAATTATTGCTAGTGCTTTAAGAAAATATTTTATTTGTCAAAAGTTTACTAAAAATAAAGTCTAGAAAAAAAATTATTTACACAACAAAAAAAAAAAAGCACATGCCTTGATTCAAAGTTAAAATATTCATTATAAATATTTGTTCTTTCAATCATTTAAAATTTCGTCATCATATTTCTCATTATACATAAACAAATCTATACAAAAAAAAAAAACAAAATGGAAAAAATGTTAAATTAGATGTCCGCCTAAATTTATGCAATTTTTAAAATTCTATTGCATTTTGTTGAATGTAAGAATCTTCTGAAAAGTATAATATGTACATGCACATTATCATTGCACTTAAAAACATTTAACAATTTAAAAATAGTAAAATAATTTACTTTTTGTGTTTTAATAGCATTATGGCTGTCTGAAAATTTTGATTTTTTTAATGAATGTTTAGTATTTTATGGAGAAAGTGTTTATAATATGTCTTGTGTTATTGAAAATTCGAATGAATATTTCAATCACTAATAATTATTCTGGTTGATATTTTGACAACTTTTTCTTAAAATTACATTAATAAATCAAAAATAATATATATGTACAATCATATAACAGATTTTGTATTTCGTTCTTCCTGAAAATTATTGTGTTTACAATTTTTTTTAAATTAATTTAAAATTAAATTATTAATTGCCTGAATTTAAATGAATTTCATTTATTTAATTAAAAAAATAATATTGATATTCAATGAAATATGATTTTATTATGACTCTGTTTTAAAATTGAACGAATTAGCCTAAAATTATGCTATATTTGATCATTTTTAATATTAGAAAATTAGAAAATATAAAAAAAACTTTGTAAAGACATTTTTACATTATTCTTTTATGTACTTACATTTTTATTATATACATATACACTTAATTTTTATAAATACTTAAAGGTATCTAATATAATATAATAGTTATGAACATGCGCTGTTTATTTATTTAAATTTTATTAAACAAAAACAGCAATAAAATTGAATAATTTAAATTCAAGTTCATGATTCACATTCGCGTTCATTTATAATAAGCATCTACAATATAGTATTATGCTATTACATATGTTTTTATAAACTTTGTTAAATACACAATTTTTTGTGTTATACTTTAGAATTTTATATGTGAATATAAAATTCTCGCATTTTTCTTGAAAAATATTAATAATTTTTAATTACATATGTAGGTAGTATATCTTTAGCAAAATGTTTAAGTATCTAAGTATGAATTGTATTTATGTTGAGGATTACTTGTATATTATCGTATATAATGGGTTTCTTTTGAAAGCATGAAAAAAAAAACAAAAATGAAAACTATATTTACTTTCTTTATTATCACTTTTAAATAAAATTATCTAATTTTAAATGCTATTATTTGCATTTTATCATTTATTATTAAAGTTTCTGTAATTAATAGAAATAATAGTTATATTTTTTTTATAAGACCATAAATTTTATTTTTTCCCAAGTAATTGCAGTCAGAAATTGCAATTGAACTGCATCGGATGTGTGATTATTACACATTTTTTACATTTTTTATAAATATATATTTTTTATAACTGGAAAAACAATTAGAATTATTCTTACTTATAAAAAATAATAACATTAATTTACGTAATATATGTTATGTAAAAGGGGTTTAAAATATTATATAAAGAAGTTTGTATAAATAATATACATACGAGTATTTTAGCATATTAATAAATTAGTGAGCATACTATATAATTAAAAACTAGTTGAAAAAATCGTGTGAAAATATTTTTCTATATATTTTTCTATTTGGAATATTTCCATGTACAATACATATATATTTATATAAATAATAGTTTGATTTTATTAAGTAAACACGGACATTGTTCATATTTTCACAACATTTTGATTTATAATATCAAAAAGTATGTTTTGAATATATTACAAAATCTGAATAGTTCAAAATTTTCTTCGTTCAGCTGAAAAAAAAAATTATAGAACAAGGAAATAAAAATGCATTTTACATTAAATTTGAGATTTTTATTTAAAAAAGAGGAAGTGAGTATTTATAGATTAATTAATTATTTAAAATAATTAAAATTCATTTAAATTTCACATTAAATGTGCATATATTTTCATTTAATAATGTAAAATTAAGTGTCATACATTGTTTTATGTGTACGTGATTTTCATATAATTATATATACATATATTTTTTATTAATTATAGAAATTGTAATATTGTTAAAGTACTTGTGATTAATCTATGGGAAATTAAATTTTATAACAAAAATGCATAGATTAGGCTTTTAAAAATGTATTTTTCGAGATAACAATAATATTTAAGTTTTCAAGTGTGGTGAATATATGTATGTTGAATAAAAATTTAAAAGTTATAATAAATTAATATAATTTATGAGATTTTAATCGTTGTCTCGTTAATCTAATAGATATGAAAGCGATAAATTTTAAAATGTTCATTCAAATTTTGCTTATTTTTTATTTAACTTTCAATAAAAATTGTTCTTCTTTTAATTTTGTGTAACTTGTAGTTTTAATAAAGTATTCTCAATATTTTTGATAAGAAAATCGTATAATTTCTTATTTTAGCTAAGTAGAGACAAAAATGAATACATAAAAAAAATAAAAAGCAATATTTGTAATAATTTATAAGTGTTTTGAAAATGTGCGAGAAACAGAAGAGAACATTTGAAATTATCTAATATTATAATTATCTAATAAGTATTATTGAAATTATCTAATATCTAATATTATTTGAATATTTGAAATATGAAAGAATCTGGTAGAAAGTGCTCCAGGAATTTTGAAGCTAAA